AAGAAACGAAGACAACCACACACACACACACACATACACACCCCCCATACCCTCCTTTCCCCTCCCCTCCCACGCTAGCCTAAGGGCCTCCTTAGCAAAGCGCATCCCAGGCTGCATAGCCGCACCGCCCTACCCAACCATACCACACATAAACATGACACCACCCCCGGGGTTTACACAGACGAGCCGGCGAAGCAAGAAAAGCGCCAGAAGAAAGGGCACTAGCCGGCGGGGCCCAGCCAGGGGGACTTCGCGTTGAAGTCCCCGATAAGGTGAACAACGTTGAAGAACAAGAATAATGTGAATATAGCTAAATATCTAACGGGCAATAAAAAGAGGAACGCAAAGAAGAAGAAGAAGAAAAAGTACCGACTGACACTACTGACAAGTGACCACCTAAAGTTATGTGCAAGTGACAAGTAATAAAATTTGTAAACAGGTAAATGTAAACGCAAATATTGTTGAATCTAAAGTTGAACTTGTAGACAATAATATTAATAATTGTTACATATTTTGTAATTTTATTATTGCAGTTACAATATGGAGAAAAATTTAGACAGGATAATGGAGGAACTGTACGTATACTTTACATAATTTCGATTTATAAACAGGCTTTAATATAATCTGCAGTATAATAAACCATTTGAATGAATAAATTAAAAATTTAAGGTAGAATTATGCAGTATTCAAGAAAAAAAAATAATCTAATGGTTTCTTTTATTTATAGTCTTTAGAAAGGTTTTAGTAAAAAAGAAACTGATGTATTGGAGGAATTAATGCCTTTTATATAATCAGAAATTTTTCTTATATTTTAGAATTAACAAGCCAGGTGTTTATGGTTGTGTTTTCGCTGACCATCAAGGATTATGTTTAGGAGGTAAGTTTATCAAAAGGTAGTAATGTGAATAGTAGCGTTTTATGTTAAAGTACAATTTTATAGTGAAGGGAAAAGCATCTACTGATAGTGCAGGTGTTATCGCTGCGATTGCAGAACAGGCTGCAAAGTTAGAACCAAAAAGCAAAATGCCTGTTATTCACTTAGAAAAAGATAACAAATCATGTACTATCCACAGAAGCGGAACTGTCACTGGGGCTGTTTTCAAAAATGTTCTCTAGTTGTTAACCTAAGATATATATAAAATATTTAGTTAGTACAGAAACGAGCAGTTGTAATAAAAATATTCTTTATTAATGCTTTTATAATAATAAATCTTTATCACATATTCTTTGGTTGCATATTTCTAATATTAATCAGTTTTTAATGATGCCCTTCGCTTATATTTATCGTAACCCAATCTTAACAATGTCAGATTTTCCAGAGCCCAAGTAGATATTGTTATTATAAACAAAATAGCTCCAACGCCAATATGAAGGATAATAGATGTATTTAATATGTAAATCTGAAACACAAGCATATAGGACTAAAGATTGGTGATCATAGAAATAAGCATATTTAAAATTACAGCTAAAAATTTAAATTACAGGGTAGCGATAAGGATGACCTTTAGTTTTCTTTTTGTTACAATTTATTTATTTACAATCGACATACAAATATTTGAATGAGGCAAAATTAAATAGTGTGGCGCGTTACAATCAAGACGCCCCTCTAATTTTCTTTGAGCTCACCATTCATCAATAATTGTCTAATTTTTCATCCTCAGATGTTTCTTATGACTCCTAGCTTTTAAGATGGAAAAGTTTTATCAGACGACTTCATTTCATGAAAATGAAAGTAACAAATCAACACTGTAATGTGTGTGATAGAAGCGAATATAATCTATCCTGGTCATAAACATATGAGTTGTCCACGACATCGATACCATGAGTGTGACAATAGTGAATGTAATTTTTTATTTTTGTCGTGGTAATGTAGGAGCTAAAATTCAAAGGGCAAATAAATGTTTACTTGCCTGAAAATAAAGGTAAAAAAAATTTCGAAACTTTTCATTCTTTTAAATAATGAATTTACACTTTATTTTATGGGAGGGGGTTGAAAAAAAAATTACAGTCACTTATTGTTATTATATACCCCTCAATCTAACTTGTCAAAAATTCAGGCAAGTTGACCAAAATTGCGATGTAAAGGCGCATTTAATTATTGGACTATTTAATCTCTGAGCATATTATTTACAAACGTCTACAATCTACATAGCCAATGATTTAATACGAGGGGGAATCAAATATAAACGGTAATTTTACTATTTAGCTTAGCACGTAATTCCGATCTAGAGGATTCGATGCTCAAGTGTTGTTTGGTTTATGAGGATGGGGGAAACCGATTTGGGTAGCAGCTGCGCTCTGTTCTGTCCACAGTACAGCCATGACTGAACGCCAGGTACCTTCGTCTGTTGCACAACGCATCATCATAAAGTTTTTAACCAATGAAGGCGTTAAACCATCGGAAATTTTCACTCGTTTGAGGGCACAGTTTGAGGATGCTACACTGTCTAAGAATCGAGTGTATACGTGGGTCAGAGAATTCAGGGATGGGTGAGAACGTGTTGAAAATGAAAGTCATAATCGACACCCACGAACAAGTCTCACAAATGACAACATCCGTGCTGTTCGAGAGCTTATTGAAGGTGATCGCCGGTTAACTATTGAACAAATCTCATCAGAATTGGGTATCAGCTATGGGAGTGTTCAATCCATCATCACTGATCAACTTAGCTTTAGAAAAATTAGTGCTCGCTGGGTTCCAAGGTTGTTGACCGAAAATCAAAAACAGGTCAGGTCGGAGATCAGTGAAGGACATCTGAATCGATTTCGACAAGAAGGGAAGGTTTTTTTGAGGCGTATTGTCACTTGTGATGAGACTTGTGTAGAGCACGGAGGTGACTACATTGAAAAATGTTAAATGTTTAGTTTGTGTATACCATTGATCAATAAATTTATTTTACAAAATTACCGTTTATATTTGATTCCCCCTCGTATAAAATTTTTATTATAAATATTTGATAGTAATGGTTTTATTATTCAAAGCATATTTCTTAAATCTATGGTTGTATTTGCTTTATAAAATATAAAAATTAACAAAACGAATGACTATCTGAAATGTTTCTAATATATTGAATTATATTTTTTCAGCAAAACAAATAGTTTTAAAAAATCGTTTTTGCCATATCATATAATGTAAAATTGCCGTAAAATTTAAAAATGCATAAATATACATAGTCCATTTGAAATAACAGAACCAGAAGTGCGAGGAAGTCACTATTTTCATTGAATAGATCTTTTTGATAAACCCCTGTATACAAATTTTCAGATTTCAATTCTGACTACTTTTTGAGGTAATCCTACTGGACCCTCTTCGTGATACACCCTGTATATCTACATTGTCTCCCATTCAAATACCTTCATAGCAAATAAGCAAACAGCATTAATAAGAGAATTATGGATCACCCTGTATTATGACAAATTGAATGAGTGATGACTAACTTGCGAGCGCAATATTATATTTTTTCCCCTAGACTGTAATGCCAGAATCGCTCATTCATAAGATACTTTCCCAAAAAATATTAAATTATTCAATGGATTGTAAATATTCAGTAGTTGTGTATGTAGGTACTTAAAATTTCTTACCTCTGATAATTTTGTCAGAATACCAGACACAATCAAAACAATAACAAAATTATACGTAGGTATAAGTCCAATAAGAGGTTGGTGTTTTGTATCTTTGTACTTCTTTTCAATGAAAATAATACTAAAACAAATAGTGTATATTATTAATAAAAAAATATTAGTAGTCATATAAATAAACTTCAAAATAATACTTTTCCTTGTTAAACGGACCCCGCAGAATCCTTATGGAAAGCGGCTATCCATAATTTTTTAGAAACTTTTCTGTGATAGTTCTAAACACGTGGATCAAATCTCAATGGGCACATACATATTATATTAAGGATCTGATTGAATGCAGAAAAATATCAGGTGGGTTTTGTTTAAGAATTGTAAGTACACCACATAAAATGGTATGCTTGTTCCGATTGAAAAAAGGAATTTTCGGTCAGATTAGGCCACTTTCGGTGTAAACCGGAAATCGAAAATAACCCTATGAGAGAATGTATTCCGTTTAACATTGTGCAATATGATGTTTTTCATGAAAAAGCTTTCACAGGAATTAACACGAGGTCAACTTTAGGTCATTTAGGGCTAAAAAACGCATTATAGAAAAAATGTTTTAAACAAAAATTTCACATTTTTTGGGGTTGAATCGAAATCCGCAATAAAAGGTCCATCCATCAGTGTAATGTAATTTTACAAAAAAGAATCATTGCTGTATTCTTACTATGCAGTGTATGGAGTAAAAAATTCAACTTTCAGGGGCCGTAGGTCAAAAACGAAGGATTTTCAGACTTTGTACCCATTGAAACTTTTGATCCACATGTTCAAACTATCACATAGCAAAGTTTCAAAAAAATTTGCCAAGGGCCACTTTCCATAAGGATTCCGCGGGGTCCTTTAACATCTTATATAAACATTTACCTTTGAAACCTTCGGTTTCATATACAGGGCGTCTAAATAAAAAAAGTCGTAAATCTCCAAATGTCTTGAATAAATTATGTATATTAGCACAGCTATTGAAATGAAATACATTAATAAAGTAGCATTCAATGTAAGAAAATTTAGTCTTAACTCAGATAAGTGACATGGATATGAGATATATTTGCCTCAAAAGTTATGGCATGTTACTAAAAAAAAAGTTTTATATAATTTTCTAAAAGCAAAATTTATTTGGATGAAAATGATCTCTTGACTGTATTGCACAGTTTCTACCAATTTGGTACAAATCAGCAACTTGTAAAGATTAGATAAATTTAGAGCTATTTAATTTTTAATATATTTTTACAAAAATATTGTAATTACTATTTATATATCAGAACTACTTCAGTAATATAAATATGCTTTAATTCGAAAGCTTGATAATCTGATTTGATTTCAGTTTCTATTTATTTGAATTATTAATGATTGCATCACACCGCGGTGATCCAAAAGTTATGTTCAACACGGCTCAATCAGTGAGTTGATAATTTTAAACTGAAATAGTGTGAAACGTTGGCTATTTTTTTTATTTTTAGTTTTAACTGTCTTGATAATCCAAATCCACTGTAATCCAAAACTATTCGGATTATCGATGTTATACTGTATTTTCTTACCTGTGGATTATTCTGGCACACATATTAATGCAATTCGCCAGTATAAAACCAACTGGCCCAAAAATATAGGTAAAAATGTACGAGATCAATAAAAACGTTATTGAAAATATCACCATAATGTAGTTGTACCTATAAAAATACAGCATTAGAGGTATCACTAAATTGTGAATCAATCCTAATTATATACAGGGCGATTGGGGATGGGGAGAAACCCCAAATATTCACAGGTGTTTAGGGAGCAAAAGTGAACAGAAAAGCATAACAAATACATATATGGTTGAATATCAACGATTACTGAGATAGCAATGAAAAATTTTTATTGACATATTATATTATGTATTGTGAAATCTGTTATTATTTGCTATTTCTATACAGGGTGTCCCGAAATTCATGCAACAAAATTTGGTCACAGATTCTTAAAACAATTTTAGGGGACCCGTATTTTTTATTTTTGCCAAGTGGCCCCCTCTTTCGGAGTTACAGTCCCCTGTAGTCCGCCCCTAAGAATAATCTTTTTTTTATATCTCGGAACCCTGTTGTACGAGAATCACTAAATTTGGTACACAGGGGTTTTATGACATGTGGAATCTGATGGTGCTATGTTTTTTTCTTAAAAATTATCAGTCCACTAGAAAGCCATTTTGTCTCTTTATACTTTTTTCGTAAAACGCAATGTTTTCCGGAAAAATGTCAAAATGTGATCGAATGCATATCGTGATTCGCCATTTTCCTCAAAAAATTGCGTTTTATGAAACAAATATCAAGAGACAAAAAAGTTGCTAAATTCAATGGCTTTCTAGCTAACTAATAATTTTAAAAAATTCAAATTTGCAACCAAATTTTTCTGGTTCCAAAGACAAGGGAGCCCACAAAAAAGTGCCTTAAAGGGGTTTCTCACCAAAAAGCATAGCACTGTGACATTCCACATGTCATAAAACTCCTGTGTACCTAATTTAGTAATTCTCGTACAACATGGTTTTGAGATATAAAAAAGACTTCTTAAGGGCAGATTTTAGGGGGCTGTAACTCCGAAAGAGGGGGCCAGTTGGCAAAAAGAAAAAAGACAGGTCCCCTAAATTTGTCTTAAGAATCTATGACCAAATTTTGTTGCATGAATTTCGGGACACCCTGTCTAAATACTTCTAAAATCTACTAGATGATGTTCCATTGAATATTAGGCGAAATATGTACTTTCAGCACACTGGTGCTTTGCTTATCAGGGATAACCTATTACCTTTTTGGTTTGATTCTAAAAAAAAAGGTCAATCTGGGCATGTTGCTTATTTTAGTCGTGCTTATATTTTAGTACCCTAGGGATTAAAATCATTTTAAGGCTTTATGAAGTGGTTAAATATTATTTTTAATGAACCTAATTACGCAACCAAATCTGAAATTGCAGTAGTGATTAAAGGCTTAACATTACCTGTCTAACTGTTCATTATTCATTGTCGCAAACACATAGCCTTCTGTTACACCATTCACGGCAAGTAAAACAATAGCAAAACTATGAAAACGTAATAATGTCACCGTAAGGTTATTTTCAACCAATTTAGGGCCACCATAAAGGTACAGCACTGTATAACTGTATGCTTGACCAAATACTACAACCACCAATCCTATGCTCATAACCACTTTGCACAGTTGAGCCAAGACTTCAGCAGATTCTGATATGTGTTTCTGAAACATTGAATACCAACATACAAAAAATTAGTTGTACTTACAGAGATGATCAAAAATAAGTACTAAAATGTAGCTATTAATGAAAATTTTTTACTAGAGCACTCTATGGAATTTTTGGTTATCTTAAATTAGATAAATCTGTTAAATTAAAGAAAGGTTGCAGAATTTTACGGTGAACAATATGTTGGAAAGGTATTTTTATTTTCTGTTCTTATCTTGATGTTATCAATGAGGAAAAAATTTATAATTTCAATTTCTTTTTTGTTTTTTTTTATTATTGAAAAGGATGGACCTTTTAAACTTTAAAACACTGCGGGGCAATATTTTGTCCTATTAGTACCGTCAGTGCAAAGAAACATTTAACTTAATTTTCTTGGATTAGATTTTTTCATTTTTGGATTCAGTTCATTTTTTCGATTGTGTCAGATGTTATGATTTACTATTTTGTTTCCATTGAAATATCAATTATATCACTTTTATAAAGTGTTTTTAAAAAACATCCGACTATTTTTTATTTCAAACAAAATTTTGACAATTCAGTTAAATTTCTATTGATGTCAAAATGTAGATAACTAAAAATGCAATTTTCACATGAAGGAAAGCAAGATATGCTTCAAACCTATGGATTAATTTGAGGAATAACTGGTTTTGCTTCATCTGAAAATTACATTTTTAGTTCTCTAATCATCAATGCAAATTTAACTGAATTGTCAAAATTTTGCTTAGGATAATAGTTGGATAATTTGTGTCAAAGCACTCTTTGTAAAAGTAGAATGTGGTATTTTGACGAAAACAAGAAAGTGAACCACAAAATGAGCTGAATTAAAAAAAAAAATTGAAGAAAAACAAAAGCTGAATATCTTTTTCCGTCTTCATATACTCTATTACAATTTCAAAACAAAACAAGATATGTTAAATTTCTCTCCAACATGTCATCAAATTTCACACCTTTGTCCTAATTTGAGAGAACTTGTATCTGTTAACATAATAGAAATCCTCATGGTGTGGCTCTCATAACGGACACCTGATTATGGAAAATTAAATCAAAATCAGTAAAGAAAATTTTTTACCTGCTCTTGACTTTTAAGAGGAACATCTCTTTTTATCATTTGAGTAAAATAAAAGTATGCTGAGTCTTCTATAGGACGAAAAATGAATCTAAAACAAATATTCTTTTACCATTTTTTTCTACTAAATTATTAATTACCAAATTAAAATAATGATTGTACTACTTTGTATATCTTGGAGCTTCGGCAATAAAATTAATTCTGTTTACTTCGTCATTATATAAATACCTATTTTTTGTAAATATAAATTCAAATTTGTCTTACCTTGCCGCTAAGCTTCCTAAATTGTTTACTATATCGTACATTGATTGCTGACTAAAAGTCAATACGGGGGATATAGTCATAACATATCTTTCTCCTTCTGTTAATACTTGTTTGACAACTGACTGCTTGACAAAACTGGCCGTCAACAAGCACAAATCTCTGTTTAACATGCGCTCCTGTAATATTTGTTAAATAAATACGTCTTGGAAATCTCGTGACAAAAATTTTTATAATCTTATAAGAAATGTAGATAGGACACAGTAATGGCAGTGGTGGCTTTTTTAAGGGATAATTTCTAGGCCCACATATAGAATATTCATAATGAAAGAGCTTATGAAAAAAATTGTGAAATAGAAAATGCTGCCAAAAGTGACATTTCGAAAAGGGTTGTACATATATTTGCAAATAGTATATTACACCACAAGGGCCGAAAGTTGAATTTTCGGCCCTGCGCGTCATGATCATGACAAGCAGGAGCGAGATTTCAACTTTTGGCCCGTGTAGTGTATACGATTTTTCTTCATACCTCGGTCGAAAGTACGTACTTTCGACCGAGGTATGAAGTAAATATATTTTTTTGTTTTGCAGAATTGGTCTAAGCTTGAAAAAACTTCTATACCACAGTTATTTTAAAATCAATTCGAATAAATATGGAGTGTGAACAAAATGCTTGGCTGAACTTTAATGGCAGATTTTTGTCACAAACTAATAAAAAAAAGTATAAGATGTGCCCCATTCTGCTTAATTTTTGAGACCTTTTCTAAATAAAAAATTAATTTCTGACGGACTTGACTTTTGCCCATCCATCATACATTAGAGAAAGTTGTAAAAAAAAATAACTGCTGCTCATTTTAATTGTAAGGGTTAGTTCAGAAGTTGGAGATTTGTGAAGGAGAGGGTGTAGCATATTATTATCTGACAGCCTGCATAAAAATGACTTACGTTGGTAAGCCATAACCACCATTGAGGGTTGAGAGAAACTCCTCGTATGAGTATAACTGATCTACAATCTTTTGGTCATGGGGAATTGAATCCGCGACAGTGGCAACATTGATTCAAGTACAACTGCTTGTCCAATGTCTGACCCAAACGGATAATGTTGTTACTCGATTCATTATTTTGAAATAACTTTGTCATAATCATAAGTTGAAACAATAATTGCAGTAAATCCTAACAATTTGAATCAAAAGCACATTTTTGCATTTAGTCTAATAGATTCAATTTCAAATATCTCGAAAGAAAAAAAAAATTGAGCAAAAAATTCTATTACCCCAAAACTATGCTTGTATATAAAAAATGGGATGTAGGTACATATGTTTGTGAACAATCAGAAACTAAAGCTGCGTACCTCCTATTTGATGAAATCAATCTAGCGGTTTTTTGTAAAAGAAAGCATATTCATATGATCTTCTTTCGCTAATTTGTGACATGCAATCAATCATTAGTTAGGAGTTTCGCAAAGTATTTTAGTTACACTTGTGTATTTTGAAAAATTTCTGTGCTTAAGAAAACTGGATATTAAAGCTAGGTCGTAAATTTATTAACATACAATAATTAATAAAAAAATTAGTAGAATATATTTAAAAATAAGGAACAATGAATAGAATTATCTTATCAAGATTATACTTTAGATAACCATTTTCATAAAATAAATATTTATTAAACATTTCCTTTTTTTCTATTCTATTTTGTATGTACAATTATTAATAACAATAGTACTACTCTCATGCATTTAATATGATGGCTTCAAAAATATTTTAACAAAAATATATTGGTTACTGTTAGTTTTGCATTCTTTAGTATGCATAAGAATTAACTAGGGCTAACATTTGAAATAGCTACCACACAAATTCAGCTTATTGTCTAGAAGTGACATCACTTTTTGGGTACTATCTCAGAAACTGAGATGTAACAAAAACATGAAACAATCTGTTTATAACGTTGGAATAAATGAATTGATTAAGACGAACCGAATATGTCTTTATTGAAAACCAAAAGTAGGCCATATCTAAAATGCAATACAAACGAACCTTGTAACTTTAACTTTAAAATTGTAAGGACAAGAGCACCCTGAAAATAACTCAAAATCAATCTCTGGAACGACTGGTGGCTTATACAGAGCCTTCATAAATGTTTACAAGTCATGTGATCTCGGTGCCTTGGCTGAATAGAATCTTGTGAAAAATAACACCAATCACAGCCAGTGAAACATAATGTAGTGATCGAACGAGTTAAAACGAACGATTCTTCATAGTGAACTAAAATAACTACAGTGCAACCTCTTTAATCTGAAAACACACTAAAATCCGATCACACACTAATCCGAACGGGCAAATCTGACCGATGACAAGAAAAGACTAGATCGCTTCGCGCGTACGCGCTTAGTCGGCAGTCAGTTTGTTTGCCGATAGCAGAGAACCTGTTGCGTGTAGTGTTTTGTGTAACAATTTTGGAGTTTTTTTGGAAGTAAGAAAAATAAAAAATGTGAAAAGCGTAAAATAATACATATATGTATGTAACTACATGTTTATGTTTTATCTTATATAAGTTTTATGTATCTTATATGATTTATATTTACAATATTGTTATACTAAAATGTGTATGTACTTACATAATATACTTATATACAAATCTTTATAGTATATTCGATAATTCGAACGATTCGATAATACGAACAATGTGGTGTTCGGATTAAAGAGGTTGCACTGTAGTTCCCTATTCTAAAACAAAGTAGTTCGCGCGAACTATTTGTGTCGATTTTGACCGATCTTATGTTTCGGTCTGCCAAAGCATAAAGCAGCGCACAGCGCATTTTTTCGTTCATTCATTACGTCTGCTCAACGAAACAGCTTAGTGTATAATGATTCGGATCGAACCAAAATAGTTCGCGAACTAAAACAAACAATTTTTCAATACATACGTACGATTGCGATGAGGATATGAGAAGGTAGACGCACAGAATATAAAAGCACATTTATAATTCCTAGGATAAGGGGTTTTAAAGTTAGAAAATTGAAAAAAACAGTCTATTATTGTCAGCCATTCCTAGGAAAAAAAGGCTAATGAACATATTTTGTAAGAAATTCCAGCGGCAAAACAGTTTATTCTACTTTAGATTCTTAATATTGTGCATATAAACAAAGGCAGGAGAGGTACTTTAGATCGTTTTATCTGATTGGATGAATATTTACGAAAAACCTATTATGCATTAGACTATTTTGCCTTAGTTTAGATCATTAGATTTTTTTGACTTTAGAAGTAAATGAAAAAACGCGCAACAACTATTAGATTCAGCGTAAATGTAAAACAATGCAACCCGCTCGTAAATATTACTAATTTGAAATTATTAATTTTTAAAACGCAGTTACTTACATACGTTAAAAATATCAGAACTGTATCTCTAATAGTAACTGAAATATATCTGCAGTAACACTTTCTTTTTCATCTAATTGGAAGTAATGCAATTCATCTAATTAGGTTTTAAGTGTATTATACTTTACTAAGTTGCCACAGCCTGTCCAAAGTTTTTAATTTTAAGTTAATTTTTTAAAGTTTAACATTCTTCATAGTTTATGTAAATCTTTCAGGTATTTGTACCTCCATTTAAAATTACTTATGTGAATTTCACATACACTGTGTAAAGATAACATTACCTCATTGTCCATGATCCCTGGAAAGAAATCCCAAACACTATTAAATGGAAAGTCACCCATATCTGAGAAAATAGTTTTCTTTGCTTCCTTCTCTTTATCATTTGACTCTGATTTGATTCTATTTAGAATAGGAATATACCAGAAGAAGAATCCATAGTAGCAACAGCATAAAATAACAGCAGAGATAATTTGAGCTATAGAAAAGGCATTTATAGCTTCATTGGGGTGATTTATTACTAATACTAAAAATATTATAGTACGACTTACTATGTATATTGTTTCAATCACAACCTAAAAAATAATGTACCTAATTAGAAATTTTATATTGATAGTTTTATTATTTTAAGAAAAATAAACAATAATAATTGCAGTTAATTATACCTTTAATTTAACAAAACAGTAACTCTGAGCCACCAAGACAACACTTTGGATACATTGCTCCACGATACAGGTCAGTGCAACGGCATAGCATCCTAATCTATACTGAGACAAATAAATCGGTTCGGTTGGTGTTAAAACATTTATCCAAATATACACCAATACTAATCCCAGTATTCCAGATATGGGTACACTAAAAATACATATTCCTTGCAAAACAAAAATAAAATGGATTTGGCTACTTACGATAACCATATTTGATTAATGACTTGTGCCCAGTTGTGGGATTTTATATCTGTTAAACAAGCTTTTAAAAGGGGTTCTTTTGACAGGAATAATATAGTCGATTCCAGCAATAACAATCTCACATTCATTATACCTAAAACTTCTTGGCCCAAAGTTCTTATGATAAAAGCATTTAAAATAAATGTGATGCATCTAAATAAAATCTGTAAAGTTGAATAACTGAATATTTATATTAAGCAAATTTGTAATACTTACCTGGAAAATGATACTAAACCATGCGTTTTGGACGCTACTTTTTAATATATTCCTTCCCATTATTATTTATTTTCTTAACTATAAAATTTAAGTTTATGCATGGTATATGTCAATATTTGTAGGTTATATTGTTATATTATTAAATGTTACGTTACATAAAACTTTACGATACGGCGTAAAATGATAGGTCCCGTTCTTTTATTCTTTTAAATGCCATTGATCATTGATTTTGTAGAGCCAATCAGATATTAGGGTTGTTTAAACAGACCAATAGTATTACATGAATGAGATTTTTGCATCAAATGAGGAATAAAACAGCACGGCCGTCTGCGTGTTTTACGTAATATCACATAACCTTCCATCTCATCTGCTCTTAGCATAACCTCTATTCAAATACACGTTGGAAAAATGTTTTTTTATTTTTTAAATTACAAATGCTATTTTTAGTTATTAATAAACAAACTTTACATTATTATGACATAAATATTTCAAACGAATTTTAATGTCTTGTCTTAATTTATGAAATGGATTTAATTCATAAGTTGATTTGTTAGGTAAGTCTTAATATTTTGTTTGTAATTATATGTAACTTTTATTAATTTATAGTTAAAACATATTATGGAACTTGGAACTGCTGAGAGAAATTTATATTTATCCTCTTTTGTTGTAAGTTACTTTAGGTTAGATATAAATTTTAGTAGTTCAAATAAACCAGTGGAATGGTCTAAAATTTAAATTTAAATTTCGCATTTTAAGGGAGGTGGTGTAGCAGGATTTTTTGTTGATATGGTCCTATTTCCTCTTGATACATTAAAGACTAGACTACAAGCTGAGCAGGGTTTTAAAAAAGCAGGAGGATTCAAAGCAATTTATAGGGGAGTAGGGCCTCAAGCCATAGGAGGTGCCCCACAAGGTAAATATTTTGTATGGAATAGTTTAATAAAAAATATATCACGATCTTTTCAGCTGCATTATTTTTCGTTACTTATGAGGGTATTAAATATTACGCTGAACCCGCTGTGCCAACGAGTGCCTTACCAGCTGTTTATATGTTTGGAGCATCGATAGCAGAAGTAGTAAGTCAAGGAAATATTTGTTTTATTTTAATATTTTAATAATAAAATTTACAGATGGCCTGTTTAGTTAGAGTTCCAATGGAAGTGGTCAAACAGAGGAGACAAACTCAACTTGGTAACAAATCTTCATTACGGATAGCCTTATCAGCCTACAAATATGAGGGTATAAGAAAGGTGCATTTTTTATTAGTTTGATTTTTTTTTTAATTATTAACACAATGTGGTATTGGTATTATATAAGGTATTGTTTTTATAAAATAGTTTGAAATAGATTAACATCGCCCTTTGAACTTTTAGATACAAGATACAAAGAAAGTTTTTGCTCAAGACTTTACTAAATCATGAGAGAGTTAAAAGTTAAATAAAATATTTTTGTTGTGAAAGATTTTTTTAGTGATTTAGATAATAATATAACCTGATGTAAAAAAAGGGATTGGCAAAAATAAAATTTTGATAATTGTTTTTATAAAATACTTTGAAATAGATTAACATCGCCCTTTGAACTTTTAGTTACAAGATACAAGATACAAAGAAAGTTTTTGCTCAAGACTAATAAATTACGAGATAGAGTTAAAAGTTAAATATAATATTTTTGTTGTGAGATTTTTTTTTAGTGATTTAGATAATAATATAACCTGATGTAAAAAAAGGGATTGGCAAAATTAAAATTTTGATAATTGAAAGAAATGTGAATCAAAAGGAATCATACATGTATGTAATGAAGTAATGTGTAATTGAGTAGAAAGAAAAAGTCTCCTGTTTGTGTTAATTCATATCGAGATATAAATATAATTGAGAATATACTAATCTGGTTGTTTACAGGGTTTGTACAGAGGGTTTGGTTCAACGATAACACGCGAAGTTCCATTTTCAGTAATACAATTTCCTATTTTAGAGTATTTAAAAAGTAATTACAGAAAACGGTTTAAGAATAACATACCTCTTGAATCTTGGGAAGTAGCGATATGTGGATCAATTGCAGGTATTTATTATAAATTTACAATAATTTGCCAGTCATATAACACGGATAAATTGAATGAGTTGATCTTCCACATATCAAGCTTGTAAATAAAAGTTCCCCTGCTATGCAACCATTCAAAACATTAGCTCCATCGAGCAGATTTATCATTTGATAAAACTGCATATCTCAACTTCCATCGTTTATTTTATCCTACTGCAAATCTAAAGAAAAAATTCCAGTTTTCTTAAGAGATCACAAGACAAGTTAAACGGAGGTTAATGCAAGTTTGATACCATTAACGTTCAAATTTTACCTGGTAGATCTATTTGATGGTCGAGTCAGGTAGTGATGCCTTAATTGTCATAACAAATTTGATATGTAACAATTAGTACTGATATGCTAAGCTAAATCCGTACTGATTAAATTTGTCCGATTTAACCTAATATGTAAGCTAAATCCATATTGGTTGAATGATTTCCGGGCTGAAACTTAGTTTCAGAGTGACTTCTGAAGAAGAGTAATATGTTTCGCAAAACGTCAAAAGTTGTAAATCGACGACGTGGCAACCAGCCTGGAAATCATTCAACCATTAACGACAGCCACGGAAGCCTACAAACAAAACTAAATCCATCCAATTTATCCGTGTGTGTATGACTGGCCATTGACTAAAGAAATATACAAGGCGTTAATACAACTTGTCAAAAATGGAGGACTGTTTTTGTCGTCTAAATTTGAAAATATTTTCTTATAAAAATTTGCCCTCAAAGCTCATATCTCTAAATAGGTAAATATCTTCATAAGAAATTAAAATATTGAAATTAAATTTTGTGAGCATTAACAATGGTACAGTCTGTATATTTGTTTAGATAGAATTCCAAGAAGAAGCCTTCTTGCGTCACTTTCTTGGAATTAACCGCATTCGACGTCCCAGGTAGAAAGACATTGGCATAAAATTTCAAGGCACACGCCCGTGCCTCGGTAAATCGTTACAGTAGTTCCAAAATATTGTACAGACTAATGTATAGTGGCATTCAACGAAAAAAGTCTAAACCCAACTATAGCAGAATAGATATGAGGACATACTGGTTGTTTTACTAATAAATTGAATACCATTAAAAAAACCAATTGCTATTTGAAATATAAATTTATTTAAAAATAAAGTGATGTCTTAACGTGTTTGCTTAGTTTTCAAAGTTTTGATATAAGACAATCTGATACATACAAATTTAGATAGATAGATAGATAGATAGATATTAATGTTGTACAAAAAGTGTAACACGTCAAAAAGAATTACAGTAATGGTATAAAACCATTATGAAAAAAAAAATTGTAAAATATACAAAACAGTACACACACACACACACACACACACACACACACACACACTAGAAATTGGCCTCAATGATTTGGGATCGAGGGGGATTATCCCTCTTTATCCTGCCTCATCTCGTGTAGGCCTGGACAGCCTTTGTAGGTGGGCCCCATCCGTCGTCTACCCCGACCGCAAATGCGGCCGGTGTAGGCGCTTTGTGGGACCTCCTTTTGTCCTGGCTGGGCCCCGCCGGCTAGGGCCCTTTCTTCTGACGCTCTTCTTGCTTCGCCGGCTCATCTGTGTAAACCCCGGGGGTAGTGTCATGTTTATGTGTGGTATGGTTGGGTAGGGTAGTGCGGCTATGCAGCCTGGGATGCTAAGGTGGCCCTTAGGCTAGCGCGGGTGGGGAGGGGTAAGGAGGGTATGGGGGGTGTGTATGTGTGTGTGTGTGTGTCGTTGTCTTCGTTTCCACATACGCCAGTGTTGATACATAATTATTACAGAATATGAAAAAAAATGGTAATAAAATAACAAATAATATAAGTACCTACAAGCAATAAATGGTTGTCAAATGTTAAAACAAAATGTTTGTAAGAAGACGACAAAACAATTAAAACAAATAATAAATGATATATGTTAAAATAAGATTATGGGCAACGTTTAATCTATATAAAAAAAACTGAAAAATGCAAATGTGCAAAGCCTATGTCTAAGTTAGTATAGGGTTGAGATGACATACTGAAGCTGGTAGTGCATTAAAAAACTGGGATGCTCATATATGATGTGCCATTACTTGGTTTACTTAAGCAGTGAAAGTCTAGTATGCAACTCTTCATTTCATTTTCATTCTTCATTTCTTTTATCTTAATTTTTTTTAACATACAAAAAACATTGGAGCATGTATGTATTTGGTAATGTTAAAATATCATTATGAATGGCTTTTCTTTGAATAGAAAAAACGATATCAGAAAGCATAGCATAAGATATTTGGGAGTGAATAAGGCTATGATAAACAGTAATTCACATTTGTTGAGCTTCATCGCTAAACAAGTTGCAGATTAAATAGATGCCTTTGGAGATATTATTACAGAGGTAGTGGGCGTGTCCATATTGCAATTTCGGATCCAAATATATTCCCAAACATTTTACTGCATCAGGATTGATATTGAAGATTATAGACGATGGGAATTTCATGGCATATTTGTCACCCCTTTTTGTTCATCAATTGAAATAACTCGAATACGTATTATTTGATTTTGATTATTTTTGGGGTATAGACTTTCGCTTCCAATCTACATATTTTGGTATTATACAGGGTTTTTTTAAACTTAGAACTCCTACAAAATTGATGTATGGTGATAATATCCGTTCATAATTTTTTCCTCTTTTGGGCAATAACGACGACTATTTTTATTTCATAGGTGATACCATTTGGAAGTTTTTGGGCCTCTTGTAGAATTTTTATTAAATGAGCGGTTTGGGTACAAAAAATATTTTTTAAATATATGCATTATCTTGCCACCCATATTACAATACTTAACAAAGTGCTAGTAGGCTCTAATTTTGTAGGTTGACTGTAATTTCAGTTTGATCTTGTATCTACCAATTCTGTTTTACCAGAAGCGGAACAATAAATATTCACAATTAACATGTGTATGCTCAAAAAAATCTACGTTGTCAAAGTGAAACAATATCAGCATGAATTTCGCATCAATGTTTGGTTTGGCATCATTGAGAGCATTGTACCCAATAGACTGAACGGGAAATTTTATTTAGAATTTTTGTAAAACTCGAGTTATTGGAAGATGTGCCGTTATTACTCAGAGCTAACATGTGATTTATGCATGATGGCTCTCCACCACATTTCACTGTAAAGTGCGGCAGTATCTGAACCAAAGATTATCTCGACGATGGATTGGTAGAGGGGATAATGTTGCTGTTAACTGGCTTGAACGTTCACCAGATTTAACACCTTGTGACTATTATTTTTGGGGTAATCTGAAAACAACAGTGTATGCTTCCACACCTAACACTAAGAGTTGTGGAACCATATCCAAAATGCCATAAATGTTTTAAAAAATAGCCCTTAAGAACGGCAAAGGGCGTCCTTTAACTTTCTTCACCGAATTAAACTTTTTTGTAGAAACAATGATGGTCATTTTGAACAGTTATAAGTTATACTAGATTTAATAATATCAACTTTGTTAATTTTATCTCCAGAATTTTTATTGTATTTGATTGTTTTTACGAATTATTTCAATAAAATTAGGCACCTTGTAAATAACTCTAATTCGTCATATGTGCGTGTATCCATATCAAAAAATGAGGTAACTTGATATATCTTATAATAAACACTCATTAAGAATTGGCAGGTACAATGCCTTAATGATCAAACTGAAATTACAGTCAACCTACAAAATCAATGACTACTAAGCACTTTGTTAAGTATTGTAATATGGGTAGCAAGATAATGCATACATTTAAAAAATATTTTTTGTATCCAAACCGCTCATTTAATCAAAATTCTACAAGAGGCCCAAAAATTTCCATATGGTATAATCTATAAAAAAAAATAGTTGTCATTATTGCCCGAAAGAGAAAAGTTATAAACGGATATTATCACCATATATCAATTTTGTAGAAGTTGTAAGTTTTAAAAAACAATTTGCATAACAACAAAATTTGTAGATTGAAAGCAAAAGTCCACCCCAAAAATAATCAAAATCGACTAATACGTATTCGTTATTTAGAAAATTCAAAAAATTTTTATGAACTTTGAGTCCATCTAGCAGCCAAACGAAGTGATTTCGGATATAGGTGAATTAGCCTAAATCTGCTTATTTTGAGTCCACGAATCTGTGGTCTCCCGTTGTACGTTATTCTGGGACGCCCTGTACAATCATTTAAAATATTTTATTTTTATAGATAACACTTTTTCTGGAAAGGACACAATATTAAATTACTTTACTATTTTTTATATAAAATAACTTGTTTTCAGGTGGATTTTCTGCAGCTGTGACAACACCGTTAGATGTAGCAAAAACTAGAATAATGTTAGCAGATAGAAAACTAGTTAGATCTGGTGAAATAACTGTTCGAAACACCCTAAAAAATATATACAGAAAAGAAGGAATTAAAGGGTAATCTAATAAAACCGTTTTCCAATACCTATCCAAGAATGAGGACTGTTTTAGGGTATTCGCTGGACTTCTGCCCAGAACCCTTTGGATAACCTTGGGTGGATATATATTTTTTGGCAGCTACGACTTTTCCAAAAACTTCTTCAACGACTACGTTCTAGAAGCTAAATATATATAATTTATTTGTACACTTTTAGACCAATTGTATTAGTTAAAAAATAAATACTACCTATGTTACTAATTATGTATTTTAATACAAAAGCACTCTATAATATATAATATCACTTATTTACATCTAGTATCGTTAAAAAATCTTACAAACTAGATTTAAAATATAAACTCTGTTATAAACATTTCTATAATATATATATTTGCTCTGCTTTAAATAGAAATATTGTGCAATCGTTATTTTAAATAACAAATATACTTTATCGTTTATAAAAAAATATAAATATAAAACAAGGCACAGTATATATAAGTTCACTGAGCTTTCACTTTATAAGCGGTAAAAAAATAACAATACTTAATCCTTAATTGTCACAATCCAATGCAAATTATCTACTTGGAAACATTGCAAAAAGTAGATTGTCAACTTGTATATAAAAATTTGCATTGGATTCTTAATTTCAATACAAAATAATCTGACAGCCAGCTTTGTTATGTTCCATAACCTCCAATTTAAGCAAACCCACGGTTTCTTTAAGTTGGTTGACGATTGAACCGAGTTCAACATTTTCATTTTTCAAAATTTTCACCTTATCCTCAAGTTTGGAAATGCGTTCTAGTTTACGTGACCGGCACTTTGAGGCTGCTAATCGGTTCCTTTGCCTCTTCCTCTCCAGTTTTATGCGTTCTTGGTATTCCATATCAACGGGTGACATCGGCGGACTCTGGTTCAAATTTGGAACGGTTTGGGGTTCTTCTTTTATTTCTTTGATGGAAGGTATTAAAGTGTCATACATATTAGTGCTATTACTGTCTGAACTCTGTTGGGAATTACTATTGTGTAAGTGTGTTAAGGCTTCAACAAAACCACCAGCAAATCGTTCTTGCTCTGCTGTTACAGTGCGGGGAAATAAAAGGGATGGTGTTGGCGTGTTTGGCATTCCATTTGCTAAAATCATATTTTCTAATTCAGGAGTATCTACTTTTAGCATATTCAGGTCCGGTGATGACAAAACTCCTGTGTTTGATAGAGGTAAAGTCAAATTCTTCTTTCCCTGGTTGAAATCTAAGGTTAAGTTTCGTTTCATATTGGTAATATTAGTCTTCTGTTCTTCGTTGTTGAACTGGCTCATTTTAATTATTCTTAAATAACTCCCAACCTAACCAACTCCACAATTTAAAAAATAAGTATACTGGTACCACTATTAAACTCAAAAGAAAGTAATAAACGGTATCAGAGATTTCCATACAACTGAAAAGAAAAACAACAGGTTAAATATACATATTTACAATAAGATAATTATGTGTGAAGGCCAATAAATATAAAATATAATTATTGACCTACAAATCTATTCTATAAATATATCAACACTACTTACGTAAAAAACCACCTTCCAAAACAATCCTTGTCGAGTTAACGTGTTAAGTGATTCATGTAAACAGTAAGACGGTAAAATTTGATAGAAATACAGAAATGTTTAAGTAAGAAAGCTACTTGTATGTTCCTGGAATAATGAAATAATACGTCCAATAAAAGAATTGAAAAGGATGACTCATTATTTTCAAGGTTTCCCAAATGTCAAATGACGTCATGTTTTCGATTAGATGTTCCGAGAAAATAACGTTGAGAACTATAGGGATCCTTTATTATTGGATACACATAAAAGGAGAGAACCAATGACGAACTTAGTATATTCTTTTCCAGAATTGCGGATATTCAAATTCGCCATATTGCAAATATTTGGCGCGCAAATTTTAAATCACAAAAAATGAGATAAAATTAAATCACTGTTAACGAATATTTTAGTAAAAACTGTAATCTCGACTGTAATATTTCATTAATGGTAACAAGTCTGAAATTTTTAAAATATTTTTTCTTTATGTTTGTCATTATAACAAATTAAAATTATCTTGTTTACATAGATTTTATGTGTGCTTTATTCAGTGAAGCAAAACATAACTTGATGGAAAATTTCTAAAAATCAAAATAAAGTCGAACATGCCTTTATTAGATGTTATCCCTTTTCAATCTACAGGATGTTAAAATTATTTAAAAAACTTTTTGAATTTAAAAATTTTTTCCACCAAACTGAAAAAAATCCCATAGGAAGCTTGAAAAATATTTGGCTTGAAATTGCCAAATTTTTAAAATTTGAAATAAATTTACTACGGATTTTTTTTAACTTGCTCTGTATGTATATTTTGTAGGCAGAGTGAGGTACCTACACCTGTGCTACAATAAATAATAATAGGTGCTTGATTCGATAAATCGATGTTGAAACCAGTTAGTGATTTCTTTTGATTATGATGGTTTTATGATTCAATTAATAGGCATTAAGTACCTATATATCCAATTGAGTTTTGGGCATTGTGAATAATTGTTTTTATAAAATTACATAATAGCATATAAAATCGTCAACTTTTATTTAAATATTCGTTTTTTGACTCAAAACATTTTAGAAATAAAATTTGTATGATATTTTTTTAAGGCAAGAAATGGAAAAATAGTATTCATTTTGTACTTAACAGTTACACCTTGCTGATGGAGTAAATGAATATGACCTAAACTTTCTGTTCTTCAATCATTGAAGTGTAAAATTGAAATAATATTTGAGTTAAATTAAAAAACCCAATGATATTACAGAGAAATGCTATTCAAACTAATACATTTTACATGTTACACAGCTATTTACGATAATTTGAAGTCAATAATTGGCAATTTTGTATTGGGTAATGCTTAAAAAGTATTTGCAAGCATTTTTATCTTAATTATTATGCCTTGTCATATTAATTTTTCTAATATCAAAACAATAACGCAGTGTCTAATATGCCCAAAAAGAGTTTTGTGGTTGCAGTGAGGTATCTTCATTTATTCTAAACGCCGTAGGTAGGTGATTACTTTATACTGCAGATTGAGTGAAATAGATTCATTTCATATCAAATAATAATTGAATAATTAAAAAACAATTAAAATAGGATACCAAGGAGATAAATAAATTATTTAAAATGCCAAAAGTGCACAGACAAGTACTGACCTATTTTAATCAAATAACTGGTTCTTTAGAATTTTATTTTTTGAGAGAATTGTGCGTATTCATGGTTCAAAGTAATGAATTGTAAGTCAACTCATTTTAACAAAATGAATTGTGTGAACCGATTCATCAAAAAGAATTGAGTTGCCCACCTCTTCTAAAGATGATAAAGTGCAAATTTCAAATTTTGTGAAAAACAAAATCGCTTTTATCGCAAAAGCTGTTGGGTTTATCAACATTAGACTATAACATTTTTACTCAAAATCAAATCCTCGTTATTTTTTTATGCGAATTGTTAATGTGTGAAGAACAAAAGTTTTGGATCATATCTACTTCACCAGCAGCGTACAACTAGCAAAAATTATTACTATTCTCACCCTAAAAAACATACTGAAATTTTTAGGCAGATATTATTCAATGCTGCTGTTAGATAAATACCTATTACAAAATTTATGATTTTACTTTGCAGCGAAGAAAAACTTAAGAAGAATGAATAAGTGGCTCTAAAATATTTTGTAATTTAAGGTAGAATATAATATTAATATACAGTCCGTTTATTAAGTACATATAGAAACTTTAAAGGGTGAATATTTGACTAACTTTAAGATAGAAAGTTCATGGGTCTACAACGGCTGGGTTCTTGAAATACAGAGCGCCCAAAAAAGCGCCCTTTTCAGCCATTATTGTAAATGTTATTAACTTATTTGTGAAGTAGTTTAGTTTTAGTCATGTAAATGATCTAAGTTTGTTATATCGCAATACAATCAATAAAAGACACATTTTTTCACTTGTTTTTCAAAAACTCTTAATGATTCAACTTACAAAATTCCAATGCAGGTTTAAATTTAAACCTGTTTTTTTTTTTACAAGACGGCTGCTTTCAGCGACAAATACTAAGAGTACCTTTTGTAAGTAAAATTGAATGGAGAATAGGTACCTTATTATGTTTAGTCAAAAATGACATACAGAGTGACACAAAAACTTACGATTATTTAAATCCAGATACAACACTGTATGTGGAGCCCTCTAACATTAAACAAAACATAAGGTAAATATTTGAGTTTCTCATCATCAATACTCCCAGTTTCCCAAATTTTGTCAAATTGCCATGTTATTGAACAAAAATATAATCAAAATACCAAACAAAAATTTTTTTGGACGCTCTGTATCTCAAGAACCAAGTCGTTGCGGACCCATGTTCATATGCTCTTACCTTAAAATTAGTCAAAGATTCAGCCTTTAAGTTTGTAAAAGTACTTAATAAACACCCTCTGTATCAAAAATAAGATATACAAGTCACATCTACAATATTTATAATTGTTTTGTTTTCCCTATGGATCAAACAGCTGTCAGGCAAAATGTTCCGTTAATGTCAAAAAATGATTTATTGTCTCATAGTTTAATGTGAGAAATTTTTTCCATCAAATATCGACATCGACATTTTATATTATACAAAATTAATTAATATTTTCTCCTGTTCACTACTCCAACAATTAATATTTTTGCGCATTGTCAACAAATAACAATGAATAGGCACATGCTCATGTCACACAAAAACGTTGGAACAAGTATTTCTCGCCATACAGCCCACATTCTAGAATTCGTTGCCATATTCATTTAAGTTTACAAGTTTACCATCTGCCTAAAGCGTGTCCTCATTGTCAATTGACTTTATCCGTAGACACAGTTGACTTAATGTATACGAGACAATCGACTTTGTCGATCGCCCTGTTGACTGGTTTTCCATGAGCTGTCGGTAAAATCAAAGGGTAGTCGAGATGAATCCTAAATGCAAACATGCTGCTCGGTGTTTGACATCAGAAAACAGATTTGAGTGTGGCGTCTCTCATCGTTTGTATGTACCTATCCTATCATCTACCGGTAAAACGGAATGGGAAAAAGAAAAGGCGGTAGCGTTTATTAAGGTGTACAAATTAAAAATAAATCTATCTAACAGTAAAAGCAATCTGTACATCTGTATTCAAGGTTCAATTTATCTATCAATATCATCCTTTTTTAAATCTTCATATTCACATTTCTACCGCCATACCAATTTCTACTTTGAAGACTTGGTCAAACTGAAAATATTCTTTTATGCGATGATTTCCTTTTTTAGACACAATAATAACAAATGCGACACAAGCAATAATGGTGTCATCTTCATTAAACCTCTTGGTTTTGACTGATTGACAAATTTTCTGCTTTCTTGGTTTGGACAGGTGACGTCATTTTGACTTATCGGTCGACAGTGTCTATAGACAGAGTCGATCGACAGTGTCAACTCAGTGAGGACGCAACTTTAGAAACCAGAACCTTAAAGCTCTCATTATACAGGGTGTTTCATAATGATTTGCAAATATTTTAAAGAGGTGTTTAAAAAGTAATTTTAGGGGAAGTACTTCCAATACATTTTTTCGATTTGAGCCCCCCCTGAGAAAATATTCAAATCTCAAAATGGCCGAAAAAATTTGCTTTCATTTTTTTTATAAAATTTTTAGTTCATATTTGCTTAGCTTTTCCTATTGATAAAAAAAGAATTTTTGCAAAAATCATGTCAAAAATGACAATTGTTTTTGGTAACATACTAATTATGTGTACCTAATCGTCAAGGAAAAATAATTTTATTTTTTTGCTCGTAAACCATTAAGTATACGAAAAAATGAGAAGAGTAAAAAAAGTTTCTAAACGAAATGTAGTACTTTTCTTTTTGGAATTGGCTAATGTAGAAAAAAGTTGTGAGAGAAATAAAACCAAGGGGTGCTAATTTCTTTCATTCAGACATAAACCAGAAAAAAAGACTACGAAAAAAATACCATTCGATTAGTTGTTAACGTGTCCAAAATTCAAATTTCTAAGTTTAACCGTTTTCGTGAAAAAATAATAAAAGCTAATTTTTTCGACCATTTTGAGTTTTGAATATTTTCTCAGGGGGGGCTCAAATCAAAAAAATATATAGGAAACACCTCCCCTAAAATTACTTTCAAAACACCTCCTTAAATATTTGCACATCATTATGAAACCCCTGTACATATAGATGAGAAATCGTACTTTTAGTAAGACAATGATAGAAGTAAATCCATCTAAACTATAAAAAAGTCGAAAAACAAGGATTTCTTAAATATTTCGCAGAGAAAAATCATGGAAAACGTGGGCACCCATGTCGGAATGTACCTTTCCTGTTTTGTCGAGAATTTTGAAAAATACTCAATGATTATATGATAAAAGCATTCTGCAGGGGGTGGTTATGTTTACAGTACCGTAAGAGTATATTCAACAGGCGTGTAAAGTTCGGAAAACGTAATGTTAAATATGAGTAAAAATATGTTTATTTTTCCTTATTCTGATAGTATTGTTAGCTTATAAACTGTCTTATACCCTCGAGAAAACTTGTATAACTGGTACAGTGAAGCGATATTGCTTCTAACTTGCTCAGATTTTCTAAAACCCTCGTCAAAAGATTGCTTACCGAAAATTACTCATAAAAATGCCCCCCTTAAACACCCTGACAAAAACAGCGCAATCTCTTGGTTGTTTGTTTCTAAGAATTTAGATCTTGGCAATTCCTGTTAATCTGTGTCCCACTCTTAATGAAATAAATGTATATTCCACCGTAAAATAATATAGTATCATGTTTACAAAGGCAAAAAGTACATGCTGTCTGTTATAAAAAAAATTAAACTAAAGAGGAAAGCTGTATTAAGGCAAAGTAGTTTGGATATTACCGACAATACTGTTTTATTAAATTAGAAGTATACAATACATTTTGGCATTATAAATATATCTAGGAAAAATCACAATGAAAATTAATACAAATTTCACATATTTGCATCAAGAAGAAAAATATAATGCAGGTATATTTTTTAATAAGTACTTAATCATAAAACTTGAAGTAACTATATTATAATCCTACCAGGTTGAGTTTTGTGCAAAAATTATCCCTCAAATTTGAGTTACAATATGTAAAAACTATAAAATAATCGAGTAAACATCAGTTATATAAATATATTATACAGGGTGTCTGGAAAAAACGGGTCATACTTCAAAGGTTCCTTGCATAAAAATAAACCAATTCGATTATAGGCTTCCAAAATCTTTTCAGTTACTTTACTTCAATGAGACTAGCTAAAAGGGAGCTTTTGAGATAACCAAATACAAATATATGCCTTTTCTTTAATCAAAACATAGTGACCGCTAAAAATACTCGAAACTGTCTTGTTTTTTTGTCATATTTTCTCGTTAGTAGATATTTTGAAGAAACGAGATTGGTTTATCAAACCTGACTTTATTTACTTTAAAAAAAGGTATACTTGTTCCAGGTCAGTACGAAGATCGCTCGGTAAGTCTTGTCGTTCGACACAATATCAAAAGCTAAACAGTTTATTTTTATATCTATATACAGGGTGTCCGGTAAATAATGGATAACCTTTTAACCGTGGACAGGGAACCTTAAGGTAGTTAAGAAAATGGACTTTTGTCTTAGTATAAAGTCCCTTCATTTTTCAGTTATTTCAGTTTCTTTTTCGAAATTTCCGCCATAGGTTACTTTATTGGTCACTACGGCCACAAGAGAACGTTTTATCTTTCAGTTATTTTGTGTAATATTCTTGAATCGTGTTATTATCAGATGCTTATCAGAATTTTTAACTAGCAATAGTAGTTCTTGTTTAAAAAAATCTTAAACTTAAATTTTACGTTAGTCAACGAAGATACAAACAAAAGCTTTGAAGGGCATTCATAAGAAGGTGCAGAGCCTGCATCAGGGAAGGCGGCAGACAATTTGAACATTTACTGTAATTTTTAAATAAAATTAAATAATAACTGAAAGATAATATGTTCTCTTGTGACTAATAAAGTAACCTATGGCGGAAATTTCGAAAAAAAACGGAATAACTGAAAAATGAAGGGACTTTGTACTAAGACTAAAGTCGATTTTCTGAATGACCTTAGGTCCATCCACGGTTAAAAGGTTATCCATTATTTACTGGACACCCGATATAGTATGTACATATTCATGTTTACTCATCAAAACTTGTCAGTAGCTGCCTAGGCATTGACGAGTAAACAGAGTGTGAATGTGCGAGTATGGAATCACTTACAAAGTCTCCAATTCGCGCGATAATTTATTATCATTTTTGTCGTGAGCTGTCTCATCAACAGTGCCACGAAGAAATGAAACGTTTATTGGGTGACATTACCCCATCCCTCAGGACTGGCAAATGCTAGTATAAACAGTGTGAAAGAGATATTTTTGAATTAGAGGACGATTCACGTCCAGCCCCGCCGAGCGAAGTGACTACACCTAAAACAATAGCCGCTGTTCAAAAACTAATTTGCGAAGACCATCGAATCACATATAAACAGATCCAGGAAACCCTTAACATTTCTGCATGGACCATATATAAAATTTTAAATGAACATCTGGAAGTACACAAAGTTTGTACAGCTTTTGTACCACACAAATTAACTGACGAGGAAAGGGAGCATCGTGTGAAATGGTGCGAAAGGATGCTCACAAAGTTTAAATCCGGACGATTTTCTGAAATATCTTCAATAATTGTTACAGGAGACGAGATTTATTATTATGATATACCAACAAAATCACAGTTGCATATGGATGTTTGAAGGTGAAGACTATTTGAATATGCCTAAGCGGTCACGTTCAGTCAAGAAAAAAATGAACGTGATTTTTCTGGGTTGTCGTGTTTGCTCCCGCTTCTCAGCACGCTTCAAGAATTGCGACCAAAGTGCCAACTGCGCTCTTGGCTGTTGCATCATGACAATGCACCAGCTCATCGCACCCAGCGAACCATAGATTTTCTGAAGTTTTCTGGTATTGGACTGTTAGATCACCCTCCTCACAGTCCCGATCTAGCGTCCTGTCACTTCGCACTCTCCCCGTACGTGAAAAATCAATTAAAAGGACACAAGATTTCTTCAGATGACGAGATTTTAGCTGTATGGGACGAATGTTGCGCTTCCATCTCAGAAGAGAAATGGAATTACTGGCTTGATGGCTGGTTTGAGCATATGCATAAGTGTGTAACATGTGACGGTATATACTTCGAAAAACAGTAATATTTTATAGTGGAACGACAAGACTTACCGAGCGACCTACGTAAAATGCAACATTGCAAATAAAAAATTTTTCCAGGCTAATTTTGAACTTTTTCTATTGCTATTCTCATTACCTACGAAATATCTACACAGTAATTCCTACGTCTCAACTACATATAACAAATGAAGTGTGTAGGTATATTTCACAAATAACAAAAACAGGAACGGCAATGGAAAAAGTTTTTAAATTGGTCTTACCGCTTTTGTTACAGTATACTCCGGATAAACCAACATACTATGTATTTTTTCTTTAAAATTAGACATAGGAAGATCGATTATGTACATACAGGGTCGAAAAGTCCCCATGGTTCATCGGCCGTTATGTGAGAGCGATAAAGAAAGTCATAGAAATCCGTGCGATAGAGAAAGATGGCTATAATGAAGGCGTCTAATAGTCACCGACCATTTTGCCCTTCCACAAATAAGATCCACTTATTATTTGTGGAAGGGCGAAATGGGCGGTGACTATTAGACGCCTTCATTATAGCCATCCTTGTCTATCACACGGATTTCTATGACTTACTTTATTGCTCTCATGTAACGGCCGATGAACCATGGGGACTTTCCGACCCTGCATATGCCATATACATATTAATTAAATACTGAAAAAAAAGTAAAACAATTTTGAAACCTCAAAAGTCTGATATTTTTTCTATTTCCGGTTAATCCGGTAGCCGATTAATCAGTCCTAATTTAATTAATAGTCCAATTAAATGGGCCTTTAAATCGGAATTTGGTCAACTTGCCTGAATTTTTGATATCAAGTTAGTTTGAGGTATATAATAACAATAAGTGACAGTCATTTTTTTTTCAACCCCCGGCCAGGGGCGGAAAAAAATAAAATATAGGGGTTTTTCAAGATAACTCCAAAGGGGTAAGAACTAGAAAAAAAAGTTTCTTATAAATGTGGTAGAGCATAAAATTCTACATAAAAATGGTCTATTGACTTTTTGTTGTACTATTAAAATTAACAGAGTTAGGGAGACTAGAAGTTAAGGGATAATTTAAAAAATTAAAAAAATCATAACAGAAAAATGAATGAATTTTATAATTTTTTTTTCAATCTACTCTAAAAAATTTAAACTTTCTTTTCAGAGAAATAGATATATTTTTTAATTTTTATTAAAAAAGTTATAACAATTTCAATTTTATAGTCGTTAATTTTTATGATTTAACACTAAAACAATTTTTTTCTATGCCATTCGATTGATTATTTAAAACATGAAATGTTGCTTTCGAAATTTTGTTTTATGACAAAGATAAAAAATCACGTTCACTTTGTAAAATTGTTAACTTTTTTATTAAAAATTAAAAAATATATCTATTTCTCTGAAAAGATAGATTACATTTTTTAGAGTAGATGGAAAAAAAATTTATAAAAATCATTCATTTTTCTGCTCGTTATGATTTTTTAATTTCTGAAATCATCCCTTAACTTCTAGTCTCCCTAGCTCTGTTAATTTTAATAGTACAAGAAAAAGTCAATAGACCATTTTTATGTAGAATTTTATACTCTACAACTTTTATAAGAAACTTTTTTCTAGCTCTTACCTCTTTTGAGTTATCTTGAAAAACCCCTATATTTTATCTTTTTTCACCCCTGGCCGGAGGTTGAAAAAAAAATGACTTATTGTTACTATTAATTCAGGCAAGTTGGCCAAAATTGTGATTTAAAGGCCCATTTAATTAATTGGACTATAAACTCAATATTTCTGCTAAATTTGTAACTCAATTAAGTATTTTTTCAAGATTTACCTAGTTATATTCCAATATTAGCATCTAAAAAGATATAGCCCTTATAATGTGGTTGAATTTTTGATTTAAGATAAATTAAAAAAAAAATTAAAAACGGTTTAACAAAGACACAAATTATATTCGAATACCTCCATTCAGCATTCCGTATCTGATAACTGTGGCAGAAAACTGAAATCCACTTTTCCCTACAACAATGCATTTTAGTGACATTCATAAGTATAGGTACTTCTTTTAAAAACATACATTTTTTCCCTTTCTACCAACAAAAAAATATAATAATAAATATGTCAAAACACAAAAACTATTTGCGACTACTCAAAATATGTTGCATCAAATTTCATTGAAATATCTAAAAAAATTATAGTTATCTCAAAATAATTGTTTAAAACAATTTTTTAAGAAAAGCAAAATTTTACTAAGGTAGTCAGATCTAAATCGGTTTATTTTCATCCCTTGAAGCTCATTTGCTTTTGGACACCATGTACACACAAACCATATTTTTTGCATCTACCAAAACGAAACATTGCTAACTTATCCTTCGACGGTTTTACTTACTATGAACAAATTAAATTAAATGCAGGTAACAAGAATGCTAATAGTACCAAAGAAAATCACATCCAAATATATATTTACTCATTCTTTAGGCACAGGTGTAATCTAACCTTGAGTTCTTATGTCTTGATGCGTCTCCCCGACTTCTGGAATCCGTTTCTGATCGGTTTATGGCCGTTTCTAGAATCGCTGAAACGGGGTGGTTTGGAACGAGATTCGAATACCACGTCTGAGTCGGTGTCGCTATCGGATATATTAGATTTTTTCGAGGCAACTAAAAATGATTCAGAACGTGTTATTGTCAATGCAATATCATTTTTCACATAAAAATTTGTATAAGAAACATGCAAGAACAAGCTTTTCACCTGGTGATAAAACAAATTATTTTAACCAAAAAGCTTTATATATAGGTTGACAAATGTTTTGCTTTTGAAATTCAGGATGTTGGGTAAAAAAATATATTTTCCCAAATATCCCTGAGAATTTTCACTTTTCTAGTTATGGGAAAAGAAAAGACTTCCTTTCTTGATCCTTTGTGAGGATATCCAAAAAAAACACAGGTAACAACATCGTATGTAACGAAGTCGGTTGGTTCATGATTTCTCGATGAATTTCGGAGAAAAATTATATCGAATTTCTCATCAAAATGGCTTATTTAAAAAATGTAAATGGAAAATATTATACAAAAAATCGTTAATAAACAATTTTAAAGAAAGCACAAAATAAGATTTTTTGATTTTTTTTACTTTTTTAATAAATCTAAATACAATAAAGTTTATCAATAATGTATATACAGTGTGTCCACGGATTGAGTTGACAAGAGGAGAAACTCTTTTGTTTTTGACTTTAATCGAAAATTGTCACTATAAAAAGTTCTGCCTCTTGAAAAAATGAGACTCGTCATACAAACATCTTAGATTAAATAAACAGGATGCTGATATATTAAAAAAACACGAAAATACTCAAGAAAGAAGTACCATTATTTATTATTTTACACAATATTTTTACAAACCAAATCTATTTTATAGGAAATTTAATACTCTACAAAAAAGGTCCTTAGGAGGAATCATGTCCAATTAATAGCTTTTGAGATAATGGCAATTTTAGTAGAAAAATTGATATTTTTCACAATATTTATTTTTTTATGGATAAATAGTGATTGTTTAAAGATCTATTTTATAGGACATTCAATTCTCTACAAAAAAAAGGTCCTTAAGAGAAATCATGTCAAATTAATAGTTTTTGAGAATGTCAATTTTAGTAGAAAAAGTAAACATTATTAGAATCATTAACAGTTTCAATATATACATATATTAAAATAAATAGAAATGAGTTTTTTGAGAATATTTAAAAAAATGTTTTACAATTTTTTTTCTGCATCGAAAATATACAGGGTGACTCAGAACTTGTCCAAAAAAATTTGGGAATAGATGCGGCATGAGAAATGGAGTCAATATCGTAAAAAAATTTTTTGTAAAATCCTTATAGTTTCCGAGAAAAAAATTATTGAAGTTATAGTGCATTCAACGACTACATAGCTGGACAACTGTAGTCTCTAGCGTCATTTGCAATGCGCGTGGAGAGCCACTTGGCCTCAGCGACTCCGAATACTGAAATCGTATTTTGCAATCGTCGTTGCAACAGTATTTACCTGTTATCTGTTGTGTTTACAATATTTTTTTAGTAATTAGTGTCAAAAATGGTTTGTGTGTATAGCAACTCGGAGTTGATGGATATCGTTTTAATTTATGGTGAAGCAAGACAACATTTGTGTTAGTTCGTAGAAACTGAGTAAGACGGACCCAAATGTGTTTACACGTTGGTGGATTTTGAACAATTGTAAAATCGGGTTATGTCAAATGATTTTATTATTTAAAAACACAAATTAATTGTATTAATTAATAAAGGCAAAAGCAGTTGAATTTGCCGATATAAAATAGGTGCGATAAAATTCTATTTACATATTTCTTTCCTTGCAAAGGTTTTTGTCTGTTTTTATCACACAGCCATACCGGTCGGATTTTGCGAGGTCAGGTTTTACAGTGGACCAGTTTCCAGTGCCGTGCAGAAGTGTATTTTTAAATCATTTTCGAACTGTCCTTTTTGATTTTTTCTTTACAAAATTGTATTTGTAATGGTCTCCTGTACATCCAGAATTTTTTTTTTGGATAAGTTCTAAATCACCCTGTATACGTACTTATACTACTTATACATATAAACTTAATACTTATGTACTTATATAAAAAAAAATAACTATTTAAATAAAATTGCCATTATCCCAAAAACTATTAATTTGACATGATTTCTCCTAAAGGCCTTTTTTTTGTAGAGAAGTGAATTTCCTATAAAATAGATATTTAAACAATCACTTTTTATCTATAAAAAACATAAATACATATAGTGAAAAATGTCAATTTTTCTACTAAAATTGCCATTATCTCAGAAATTATTAATTCGACAAATTTCTTCTAAGGACCTTTCTTGTAGAGAATTAAATTTCCTATAAAGGCAAGTACAAAAAAATTTTTGTTGACACTAAACTTTGACGAAATTTGGCGAGCCTAAGATATTGACCTAAAATTCTTTCCTTTCGCATACATTTTTTTTATGCATAATGAACAATATTTTCGGTATTAATAAAAAAAATTTAAAAAAGCGGATTTTCGGCCCACCCTAACATACACACATGTAAGTTTTTGAGGATGCTAAATATATTAGCATTATTATTATTCAACTATGAATGCATGCTATTTAATTTTACACAAAAAAGTTGTTTTATTAAATTGCTGAAATTGCACCATTTTCGATAAAAATGAAATTATTTTGTAAGAAATTTGTGATTTGACACAATAATACATGAAAGGTATTATTATTATTAAAATCATGTTATCCTCTTAAACTAACTGTGTTTTTAAATGAAAAAAATTCCAAGAGACATTTCCAGACACATTTTTTTCAAAATCATGTGGACATCATTTTCTACAACTATGCCCCTGGTGACACGATGAAATTCTAATTTGTCATATTCTGTATATTTAAAAACTTACTATGCCAAATTTAAATGTGATACATGTTTTTTGAAAAAGGTACGGTGAAATCTTGAATAATAATCTAAAAGATTAATATTATATCTAAATCCTGATAGATTCCACAGCTAATAAGATGACATATTTGAATATTAAATAAAAAAATAACATCCTAAACTGTTCTCTTTTGTAAAATTTATCCAATTTTACAATAATTTAAGTGACAGTACCACCTAACATAACCGAGATCCCCATGGAGAGGTTCAAATCAGTAAAAGGAAAAAACAAAATTTCTTTTATCAAAATTAAAATAAAAATGTTTGGGTATTGTTCAAAACTAAATATTTTCAAATACTCACAAGGCGGCAAATCCTCAGTATCTTCGATTAACCTATAAGTTGTTGGTTTGGTAATGGAATGTCGCTTCATGCACCAAGTGTAACACAAATAGAATATCCCCCATAAAGCACCGAGGAACACCAAAACGCCACAGACCATTCCCAAAACCACGTACAAAATACTCCAGCTACAGTCGGAGTCCTCATCGGTCTCCAAGTAGACTTTAAACATGTCCCGCATCCAGAATGCCTCGCATTCGCATTCTCTAGTCCGTTCGTTGCACACCCCGTGCCCCGAGCAATTGTTCTGGCAGATGGCAGTTTGTAATTTTGCTACCGAGAATGCAAGTAGACTCGCGTCTACCCGCAATTTTTGTCGAAGGTGTTGCACCACCTCGTTTGCTGAGGTAGGATTACCTTCGGGCGATTCTACGTAAAATGTGAGCATTGCTTTGCCTGAGCCAATTTCAGGATGCACACTTCTCACCTGAAAAGAGTTTTTTGTGGGATAATTAAAATGCTAACAAAAAAATAATATTCTATTCTCAATTCCTGATCTATTTATGTACAGGGTGGTCGATTATTATGGCAAAGTAAAATAGCTCCGTTACTACTTGATACAAAAAAAAATTTAAACAAAAATTTAAGGGGATCATGAAAACTATGTTTTTAAATTATTTTCAAATAGTGACATATCAAAGCATAACGGTCAAAGAATTAGTTTAATAGTTTAATAACTTATTCATTTCATTTTATTCTCGATAAAAAAAAGTTATAACTATCATGAAAAATAAAATGTTGATACCAAATTAAATTCTAAATAGGTATATGTTGAAAAATTTTGTGAAAAACAAAAAAATCTATTGTAAATGATATAGAAAAAATATTTCACACATTTATGTGCAACCATATTGGAGATTTCAGGACAGGTCCCCTCTATCTTAATTTACTCATTTTCACAGCTTTTGCAATTTTCAAAGCTGGAAACAAGCAAGCAAAATTATAAAAACTAAGAGGTAGGCAAGCAATGCATAGTGACGATAAAATTATGTTTAGGAGTGAAAACCACTTGCATCTCCCACAAACCAAGTCCAAGGAGTGAATATTTTGAAAATTTGGAATTTTTTGGTATAATTATATTAAAGGACCCCACACAAACCTTATGGGAAATGGCTCCCGGTTAAATTGGCTATATTTTTTATATGTTACGTATCTCGGCATCCTGAACAAATGTCTTCATGGACGCGTAGCCCAAAACTCCACGGGTTCCAAGATAAAGCTACCTAACCCATAGAAACCTACCAAACCACGTTAGGGTCAGGTAGGCTAGCCTACCTGACCCTTGGAACAGCGAATTTAATCGCTTATTTTTCTTGAAATAATTAAATTCCATATCACAAACATGCTAACTTCCTACCCCCTATCCCACCTAACCCCTAGAAACCATCCCTGCCAAACCACAATCAGGACAAATCACCTAACCCTGGGAACAGCGAGTTTAGTTGATTTTTTTCTTGAAATAATTAAATTCGACACCACAAGTATGCTAACCCACCTACCTATATTTAGTGTTTTCTTATTTTTATTTTTTTTGGATTTACATTAGATTTTTCCAAATTACTGACTTATTAGTTCAACAAACTAGATTATATCAGATTATAAAAATGTTTTTTCATCAGATATATCAAAATTACTAAAAATATCTGACGAATTATCGTACTAATAGAAAATAAAAACAGAAACTATACACAATGAAACACTTGAATACATCATCGCATTTGAAAAACTTAAGAAAATGTCTGTTGAAATTGATAAGTCTGGCACATTTACAGGATGTTCAGAAGGGAATAAATCATTCTTTGCCTAGTTTTCCTGAATGAAAATAAACCAATTTAGATCAAGTTGCTTTAGTACAGTTACTGTGTTTAATAAATAACATATTTTACTTTTTTAAGATGGCTCTTTTATGACATGCACCAAACATACATGTTTTTAAATGTGCTGGTGTTTCAAAAAACATCTGCTTTTTCTGAAAATCTCTACCAAAAAAAAGAAATATATTGCAAATAGAAAAAAAAAAAGACTATTTAAGATGGTCTTATCTATCTCCACTTTTTAGGTAAAAGCGAGAGTAACAGACGCGTTCATATTCATTTTCAGCTACCTCAAAAATTTCCTCATATCAAAATTCCTTGGAATGTCTTCAAAAAACACAGTTATATTTAAATAATAAAATAACAAGAATGTTTTTGAAGGTCAATAACTGTTTAAAGAAGGGGGTGATCTAAATTGATTTAATTTAAGTCAAGGAAACTATCCTTCGTATATGGACTATTCGATTCCGGACACCTTTAACAAACTAAAATTACCTGTATAAAGTAACAAATAACTTGCAAATCTAAAGTGATTGGCTAACACTCCCTTCATACTATTAAATATTGAAGATATTGTTCCATTGAAAAAAACTTTTTGATTGATTTTCAAATATCACCCTTATTTGAAAATAATTTTGAAATATAATTTATCTGATTCCCATTGTCTTTTATTTAAACATATTTTCATATTTCAAATAATAATAATAATAGATTCATTGTACTTTATACAATAGATCACCTGTATTGTACGGATAGATCACCTTATAAAGGGTGTAACTTTAAGTGGGGGTTAATTTTTTAAAAGTACATGTTCCCCTGAATACGCATCTGAAATTCATTTTTTTTTTTTGTTCAAATAAATAGTCAAGTTATAATTAGTTTTTTAAACTGCGCTTTAATTCTTCTGTATGCTGCCATTGGGCCGTGTAAACCGGATCATTCCGAATTTGCATATTAGAGCACTATTAGCATTGCCAATTCTATTTCAATCAACCAACATTGTGCGAACTGACAATGAAAAACAATTTAGTACAACAGATTGCTTTTTTATGCTTATCGACGTGTTACTTTAAAGTCACCATATTTTTTTGATATAACTGTTTTCAAAACGCCAAACGTTAAAAAGAAACATTCTATTGTTTTTAAAAAATAAAAATCCTTACATGATTTATTAAATATTAACTAATACATTACCAATTGTAATTTTTTGTTTTTAAATCAACTGTTACAAAGCGAATCTAATGAAAAATAATTTAGTGAAAACGGATTGCTTTTCTGTGACAACAAAGTGTTATTTTAGTAATTTTAATTTTTTGAGTAACAAAAGTACATGCCAAAGAGCAGTACCTCACAGCGGGCAGTGTAAAAGTTTGCTTTTTAATAACCTTTCCTTTAAATTAGGAGATTTGACAACAATGCATATTTCAGGTCACAAATGTACATATGCTGAGACTAACATGTGCCGTTGTTTGAGGTCATACTAGCTTGTCTAGCGACGGGGTATGAAAAATTACTAAAAAAGAGTTTAAAAAAACTATTGGTATGTATTTCTAAAGGTCAAAAGTTGCGTCCATATAACTATGACCCCAATCAAATTTTCACCCTGTATATTTCATACTGTTTATCACTTATCAGTAAAAATGTTATTACATATTTTTACCTGTAACTTAGATCCATCTTTCACCAGAAGAGCCAACTTGCCTTTCAAGGTGTTAAATTGAGCTTCAGTCAAAGACTTGGCATCCACGTCAATAGTAATCTCCACTAGATAAAATAGTTTCGGGTCATTCTTTACTGTGAAAGTAACGGAATCTGTGTCGCTTAAACCCTGTTCATCATATACAGTTAGATTAAAGATGTACTTTCCCACAGCGACGTCTGTTAAAATCAGAACAGGCAATTCGTCCGTTTTCTCAGCGATATACCCGATCGCGAGTGAATTTTCATCCCTGGTCCACTTCCATTTAACGATGGCCCAGTCATCTTTTGAATCTGAACCGTTTAACATCACAACATTTTTAGGCAGTTCCACTGTGAAATCTACACCAGCGTTGGCTGTGGGTTTTTGGTTTTTATCTAAAAAATGTATATATCGGTGTAAGTCTGGTGGGTTCGGCTGACGAATGATCCTAGATGTTTACTAAATATTGCTGGTATAATGCATGATTATATCAACATAAAAAAATATATATGTTTACAGGACACATGCTCTGTACCGCCAAATATGAAAGTGTATTATAAAATATATATGTTCCGTATCGTCAATGTACAAATTTAAGATGAATGGTAAAAGGCTGAAACACACTTACTTTGATTAACTGTAACATACAATTTATCGCTGGCAACATTCTTATTGTCATCGGTTACGCTAACTTTAAATATATACAGTCCTTTGGTTAACCCTGTAACATTGGTTTTGCTGGAATTGGAATTTTCAAATGTGACTGTGGACGGTCCTTCTATCTGCTCCCATTTGAATTCCATGATCTTATTATCATCCGTACTGTTGCTGGCGTCTACGACGACCCAGGTCTGAGGTAAGCTTATTGTGAGATTCTGCCCAGCGTTGGCTATCGGTGGTTTGTTTGTGGGTGGCTTTACAAACACATGAACCTACAACAATTTATGAATATAACAAGGATTTTACATTTAACAATTTTTGACTCAATAAATTATTCAAAAGATTGCCGTAATTCACTGAATGTGCGGCACATCTTAATATATTTCAAAAAATTTACCAATATTCAAAATCAGGACAAAGTTACGGATTTTGTTGACGGACAACATGACAAAAAGAAATTTGATCTTTGATGTGTTGATCACTTTTTTGTTTTGAAGTTATCAAAATCAAAAATCTGACAATTTTTATTTTTTAATTTTTTAATCAAAAATGGAACATGAAGAATTCAAATAATGTAGTTCTATTAGCCATGGTGTTTATAAGGATGGGGAAGTGACTTTTGTCTTTTATTTTTCTTATAAATACAAAATAGAAAATATAAAATACACGTCACTATGAAACGCACACTTTCATTAGTCGTGACGTTTTAAAAATCAATTTGTTTTCAATACTCAGCAATGAATGTCTGCTGATTTTAAAATTATTTTTATTTTTGACACTATTAAAGTAATAATAATTTGAAAATGTAATATCATTGCTGAGCATTGAAAATGAACAGTCTGATTTTAGAAACGTCAAGTCTCATTGAAGTGTATGATATATCAGACGTCTAGATGCAAAATGCGACATTCGACATTTTGACAGATACTGAAAAATTCACATGGCTGAAATCACATTTCAAATGTCTATGGTATAAATTATATACATTAATTATTTATATACATATACATTTTATTATTTTAGAAAATTACTTGTAATTACCAACTGATTTAAATTTTTAGCGCATTTTCACTGCAAAACGCGACATTTGCATTATTATTTTATATTTTCTTAGACACTTGAAGTGACAAATTTTGAAAAACACTATCAAAATCAGTACCATCTAGGCATCTGATATAATAATGTGTATCTTGTATTTTCCGTTTATCTGCTTTTTTCATTAATTTTTTTAATTTTTTTCACAGAAAACTATGCCGCATCTAAATAATTTCATACAATTCCAAGAACATTGTAATATATGAAGCTTCAATTGTTTTGTAAAAAACTTAATTATCTTATTTATACCCATACATAAAATAAAGAAAGCATTAACATGTTTAAGAGTTTGAGGACAAGTTGGAATTTTTTACATTTTTTCAAAAATTTGCAAATAAAATTTTTCCTCTAAAGGACACAATCGTAGGATAATAATCCAGTATGGACAAGATTACAATAACAGAAATAATATGTCAAGAGTTTCAGCATTAAAAAAATTAATAATAATATTCTTTAAAAATAATTTAAACTTTGCTTACCTGAGCTGTGCTAGATTGATTGGCACTGTCAGTCACTTTTAAAGTAAAAGTATACATCCCTTCTTGCAAGTTACTTAACTGAAGATAAGGAGTTCGAGTATCCTGCATATCGACAGCTTTCTGAGCATCGTCTGCCGATTTTGTCCATTCCCAAGTGGTTATGGCATGATCGTCAATACTGAGATTTCCACTTAATGTTATTGAGTTATGAGGAAGGTAAATAATTTTATCCTCTCCTGGTTTAACAAAAAGACAATAATTCATTTTTTATTCTTAAATTATACAGGGTATTTTCTTTTCAGTGTGACACTGAATTCACAAAGTAAGCAAATTTTTCAAATAACATTTCTTCAAAATCCCAAAAATAACCATTTGCAATAATTTGAAAACGCCCCTGTGAAAAATCTTATATTCAAATCTTATATTAATAACTGAAAGTCCAACAAAACATTATGTCATAATATTATGCGCAACAATTACTCTGCGAGCTACATCCCCTGGCATTGAACTACATCCCTAATCTAGTAAACAGTCTTAGTGAATATATTTTTTATACAGGGTGTTTAGTTATTAATGTACCAAATGTCAATAATATATTCTACAATTAAATCAAGGGGGCAAGTACAAATAACATTTTGTCAAAAAATGTTTTTTCCCGAGATACAGATATGAAAAAATTAAAACTATTTTTAGGCATATTTCGGAAACCGATTTTTTTTGTAATACTCATATGACAAAGAGGGTAGTAGCACAGACTTTCATCATCGGCTATAATTTCGTGTAAACACAAAAAATGTGGTGCGCAAACTTCATTCTCGGAACGCTTTTATAGAAAATAAATGTAGGCCACTATGTAAGGCAGAAAAAATAACATAAATGTTCAATAATTTTTCAGGACAAATGGTATACTTGTTGCATATAACTAAAATGCATGGTTCCAGAGGAAAAATAGATTTCAATTTTCTGGATATTTGTTGGGGGTTTTTACATTTAATTAAATACAATTTTTTTACTAAATTTACAGATATATAGATTATTTTTAACTATTTGATTTAGGTCAACTTCTTTTCAAAAGTCAACACCTACTCTCTCCCACGTCTCTAAATGTATTGGAACACGGAACTACATATCTCAAAACATATTGACCTTTTCATACAGGTAAGTCAATATAAATCACAAAAAAATTCATAGAGTTACAAATTCAACAAAAAAGTGAGGTATAATTAGATTAGAATACCCACAAATACTCGCTTGTCCGCAACAGATGACTGCATAAAACATTAAAGTCCATTTTTTGTTCAGGAAACAACTTTTCAAATAATTTCCATAATAGTGAGCCAATTTCAGAATAATTCTTGAAAGAAAATTATTTAGAGAAGGTCAAAATCATATTTTTTGCCTTCTGGGAATTGTTCTATTAAGAAGAAATGTAAGCGTATAATCACTGATATAACTTATTAGTACTACTGTGTAAAGAATGTGCAAATTGAAATGATAGAATTGACTTGCATTCTAGAGAGTCCTCTTAAAAAATAAAACTAGATTTGTTATTATAGGGAAACTGATTAAAATTACCTTTAACTGAAACGAAATGTATTCAAATTCAAATTATAAATTGAAATACACTCTAAAAAAACTAAATGAATACCGGATTCTTATACAGGGTGTCCCATAATTAGTGTGCAATAATTTAGCAGTAAATTCTACGATTAAACGTTATTTTTTCCTATAAACAAGGGTCGAAAAATGCTTCCTAAGGGAGCTACGCCTCCTTAAAAGGGGCCTCAGGAGATCATATTTTTCAATTTTAAAATTATTATTAAAATTCTGCATTTTTTCTTTAAATTTTACTTAACACGTTGACTGCGAGATAATCTCAATGTACTTTGTCCGTGACTGCAATACATATCTTCGGGGATATGTAACAAAACTTTTTCTGTGTGCGGGATATGTAATTTTTTTTACATTTGACCCTATAAAATTAAAAATAACACAATTATTGCTATAAACTTGCATGTATCTGTAACTATATATCCTAGGATACCAACGTTTTCATTCGCAAAGAGTTTTGAAAAGAAAATAATAGAAAAATCATTATTTCTAAAAACTACAGATTCTGCAACTTCCACAAGATACAGTAAAAATGTGATTATTGAGATTCGCATATTTTTTATAATGAGTACATACCCCCCGAGGTATGTACCGCAGTCAACGTGTTAATATCCAATACAGCACCGTAAAGTGAAAGCAAAAATTTAAGTTTAATAATCTGTCAAATTAATTCAAGTAAACAAACGTTTGTTTTCATGATCTACCCACCTATTTATGTAATCCTTTTCCATTCTTGAGATTATGTAATAAAACTAAAAATCGATTTTTCTCAAAAACGAAGCATTTTATCGAAGTAAATCAAAAGTACATTTTTTTTTGTGAATAACTCATATCTATCATAGTTTGATGTTTAAATTTGAAAATATTGACATGCAAAAAATTGGGGGGCGCGTACCCCTGACTAAAATTTTTAAACCGTTTTTGTGTAGTTCGTTAGAACATTCATTGAGTGTTCAACATTCCAAAAATTCATAATGATATGTTAACTGGTTTTGGAAATATTTTGAAAAATATGATCTGAGGCCCCTTATAGGGGGGCATAGCTCCCTTAGGAATCATTTTTCGATCCTTGTTTATTGGAAAAAATAATCTTACTTTTTGATCGTAGAATCTACTGCTTAAGTATTGCACACTAATTATGGGACACCAAGTATAACTTCAGCCATTCAATCTCCAGGGTATAGTTGGAACATTTGACATGGTATCGGTAAAATAAAACTGTACTTAAGCATGCAATAACTCATCACTATTATATTTCTTACAAAAAAAAGGCATACCACCACTAAAAACTTACATAATAGGATGAAAAAACAATTTCTTGGGAACGTTGCATTCATTATTCGTTCATGCATTATTCCATTCCAGAAATTTTTAGGAGAAAAAACACTTTCATTCTAATGAAGAAGATATGGCATTTTTTTAAATAAGTTGTTAGAATATACCAAAAACGAGAAAAAGTATGTTGAAAAATTATAGTAAATTATTGTTTTTCCAGTATGTTTAATTAATTCATAAATTATTATTTTATTTTTGTAATTATACTAATTATTTTCCATTTTGTAATAATTCTAATTAAATCTGAAATATAGTACCTCGAAAGTTAAGCATCTGTTTTATATTCAAATTAGTGAATAGTACAATAAAACTGTTCCAATTTAAATTATTGAACGTTACAATGCAATAACTTGTTTTTAATACCTTTCCATGTAAGGAATTATGACAAGAACTCTGATACGACTTAAAAGAACATTAAATGTCTCAAACCTTGACATATTTGCTGTGTTCTTGGTCAACTTTAAAAAAAATATATTAACACATGATAATTTATATACATCCATTACATACATACATTATTTAATGCTTCATTTAATATTTACTTTGTTATAATCGGGACTCCCATAAATTAAACGTACTTTTTTGTATCTCATATTTATTATTATTATTTCATAACTGAATTAGATTTAATCAACTAGATCATATACGGGGATAAAATTCTATAGGTTGATATGAACATAATTTTGTAGATAAAATAAAAAGTAGAAATCTGATGTTCTGTACATTTTTTTTAATGCCATTTTTAATTATAAAAAATTACATTTTTTTATATCTTTGGTTAACCTTTTTCTCTTGAAATTCGATATTTTTTAGAGGTACGATTTATGTATATAAATAGTCAACACGTCCGGTGGAGTTTTCGAGTTACCTGCTTATGGTGTCCGAAGGGTGATTTCTTTTGTAGTTGTACAAGAGATTTGGGGTAATTCAACCCAGGAATAAGAGTAAAAAAGAATAAAATTTGAAACGACTTCTAAAAATTTTGAAAAGATTCAGATTCTCTAATAAAAAAGATATAATTCACATTTTCTCCATTTGAACTGTATTTTTCTGTTAAAAAATAAAGATGTGAAAGGTAAAATAAAAAAAGAATGCTATTTTAGAATCACGTTCTTATTTTTTTACTTGAAAAGTATGGTTTCAAACAAAAATTGTTAATATAAACTATTTTTCTCCTCTTATTCAGTTTATTACCTCCACTTCCAGAATTTGCCATCCCAAATCCTTTGTCCTACCGGAACAATTTATATATGGGGCATTTTTTTGATTGAAATTTTTTTTTTCAAATTTAGCTTATTTCACACCATTTTGAAAATTTTTGAAAATGTAGCTCAAATGCGTTGCGTCTTTTTTTAAAGCAAAAAAAAACGGGTTTAGAAAATTTCGTTTTTTTTATATTTGGAAAGAACTAATCATGTTATTTTTTTAGAGGTATGTTGTTCCCCTGATTATGCAACTTTGCCCCCATTTAAGCTAGTTTGTATCTCTTACCATTTTCGAGATCCCTGTAGTGAGAAGCGAATTTGTAACAGCCTGTATATTATCTTATCTATTGTGTCATTTTTATCTATGAATTTTCTTCGGTATTTATTCGCTTAGTTTTAAATATTATAAATGTGTTATTCGTAGTCTTAATCATAAATATATTTAATAAAACTTTTATTACTCCACGCATTTTATTTATTCAAACTTTCCTTAATAAAATTTATTGTTCAAGAATTAATATATAAGCAATATTAAGCACATATTAACACAGGGGCGTAACCAGAAAGGTTCACTAGAAATGACTAAGAAAAGCCGGTTCGCGAGATAATCTCAAAAATAATTCACGCACCCCGTCTGTATAGTCCGTTCAGAGGAAAAAATGTATCTACACTGGAACGCAACGACCGTAGATCCGTATATAAGACAAAAATCCTGAATCGCAGACCCAACTCACCATCGTGGACCCAATCGGAACAAAAACCGTAAGCGTAGATAATGTATTTAATGGATAAATATAATTTAAATACAAATATTAGGATCTTACCTGCATTGGCTTCAGGAGGATAGTCTGTACCGGCTAAAACTGTAATATTTGCCGTTTGACTAGTCGTATCTTTATCAGTATCAGTTACTGTCAGTTTGAAGCTGTAGTTCCCAGGTTTTGTCAAATCATTTAATTGCAACGTTGGACTATCTTTAAGCTCCGGTTGATAACCTATAAATTAATAACAAGATGAAACTAATTAAGTCATCCTACTTCTTTCAGAAACTAAAATGAAAAAATAAATTTATTAAACTAACCCAGTGGGCCTTGTTGCAATTCCCAATGCCAAGATACTATACCATCGTCGTCTGTTGACGACGATGCATCTAAAACTGCAGCAGAATTCGGCAGCTTTATAGTTTGATTTGATGGAGTTATGATAATTGTCGGAGGTTTATTGATGCGTTTTGCTGGTAGAACGGTCACATTGACAAAAGTTTCTCCATAAGCAACTGAGGTAGAGACACTGATCTATAAACGAAGTAATGAATTTCAAGCCTTTCAAACATGATTATAAACCAAAATAAGTACCTTAAAGGAATAAACTCCTTCCGTTAATTTTTCTAAATGTAATTGTCCACCATTTTGATGTTTAACTGCAGTACTACCTTCTGGTTGACTGAGTGACGTCCATTCATACTGATATTTCTCATCGGCATCTTCTGGTGATACGGAAGCAACCAGATTTACTTCATTGTCAGGCAGTCTCACCTCCTTGGATTCTGCAGTTACCGTAAGTTGTTGTCTTGTAACCGGAAGTGATTTATTGGGAGACATTTCTAAAATTCTTTCAGAAAGAATGTTAGGGATGCCATGAAGTTCTGCATCTTTTAAAACTACAGGGAAACAATCCCCATCTTGATTTCGTACATAATCATCTTTACACTGGCAAATTCCTGAAAGTAAAAAATTATAACAAAAAGAATATTAAGGCCTGATTATTGGAGTTTGGGACGTTAACACAGTAAGTAAAACACAAAAGAAGAATATTGTCAATTAAATAGACTCTCATCTTCCTCAAAATTGCAATTAAATTGCAAATTCTTAGCCTATTACGCTTATTTGTAACGGTGTTATTCTAACCTCTCAAAATACACCCTTGAAGACAAGAGATCTGAAGATCTATTCAATTTCAAATTTTATTTGAAAATACAACATTTTCTTGCATATTTTCATCTATTTAAATTATTTTATTATGTTACTGTTTATTTGATTTGATTTTTTCCAAATTCGTATTGAAAAAAAGGGCAGTTTTGCACTAGGTACCACATAAACAATTTATACAGATTTTCTAAAAAAATTAATTATCAGAAAATAAGATTTTGAATAAAAAAATTGGTGAAGGAGTTAATTTAGGGTTTGTAGTTTCAAATGCAGTGTTAAACACATACATATTTGATATAAAAACAACATTTTTAAATACTCAGACAAATACTTTTTTCCAGTAAAATTTTCTCTTTGGGTAATGCTTTAACTGCAACTGCCTTGACAAATAATTAATTATATATGCTATAAAATTCTTCAGACAATATCCTGGCAAATGAAGCTTTGCACCACTGCATTGAGATAATTGTAATTTTAAGATTATATTTAATGTCAATATGCATAGTTATATCAATATTATTACTTCACATTGTTAATTGTGTTAACCTTAATAACACAAATTAAGACAGATGATTTACGAGTAAGGATAAAATATATTCATCTTTAAGATAAAAGTATGTGGCAGCTTTCTTATAGGAAAGCCCAATTGGTCAAATTACAAATGACTCGACAAATGATTGTTTTCTGGTTATTTCTACGAGACGCCGAACCAAGCTTAATTTTCCAGTCTCTATTATTTATAACCTTTATTCAATATTTATTGCATCTTTGTTAATTGCAGTACCAAAATTACATTAAAATTAAACTGAAGTTGCAAATAATGATACAGTTTATAAAACAGGATACATAAAAAACATCCATCCTAAGTTACAAAATTATGAGTACTATGGCTGTGTTCAGCAAATGATTTTAGTTTTTTTAGGGCCATTTGTTTAACACAGCCTATTTATTGCATAAGCATAGCCTGAAAAAAAGTCAAAATACATTCTGGAAATTGCAGAAAATCAAAAGAGTTAGCTTGTAAAAGCTAGAATGTACTTTTACCTTAATGTATTTTACTCATTTTGTGCACACAAGATTCTATGGAAACAATACATTACTCACCTGCTCTGGATTTTTGATGTTGTGGGGCACATACTTCATTACGAAGGCAAGTACTATCTATACCAACCTCACAACTAACTGAGTCAGTGTTAATAGATTCTTCCATTAACAAATCTCTGTAAACATCTTCAAAACGATTACGATCGTTTAAAATATTGATCATCTCTCTATCAAGCTGTGCTTTAGAAAATTCTGGAAGTAACAGATTATATTAAAGTATTTATTTTTTTTACTTATGAAATACATTGCTTTTCAGGATATCCAATGCAGGGTAGAAAATTATAATAATTGCGAAACTTAAGATGTTAGTTAAGTATATAAACCTTACCTTGTTGTTCGAGGATATCTTCCCAATTATTGTCATCATCTGTAGGTTTAACTAATACCATTGAAATGTGACTTGAACTATCTGAATTTACATTTAATGTAGGAATACACATTTCATTACTATTACATGTAATATGATAACATGTATCAATATTCATAAAAGCAACATTGCAGTTATCTTTAACACAACATTTAAGAACGCAGCCTCTTAATTTTGTAATGCCCTTTATTTCTTCAAACACTCCTTAAACAAAGAACATTATAAGACCTTCACGCTTTACATCCATATATAATATTAATATACATATTTGAAAACATTTTTTAAAGGAGTAATATTTGAACAATATAAATTTTACTTACCTGCACTAAGATTACCTCTAGGAATATAACCTTTAAAAGTTTGCTCATAAAGCCTTGGGCATTGTGTTCTTAATGATTTTGCAGTAGAATAAAAATGGCATTTCGCAAAATAAGATAATAACACTATTACAATAAAAAATATACGTTTCTCATCCATCTTCTACAATTCAGTATAATTTAACATTTGATAAAATTTAAATATACTGATAAAAAGTTAAATGTTAATTATACACCGGATACTCACCCACATATTACGGGTTAGTTTGACATGGTACACATGCGGGCTAATTTAAATAGGATTTAAATTATCTCGGTAAAGTTATTGATAAAAGCTCTTATCTACTATTTTTCATAACATACATCTTTTTGACAGCAGTGGCAAAACAGTTTTCTGTACTGTTTGTATGTTTGGTTGCATATTGTACATCTATATCTACATAATATATTTATCTTTTATAAATAATTTAATTTCATACCTAATATTTTAAAAATACAAATAAATAAACTACAATAATTATCATTAATAGTGCCGATCAAAATGTTCAACAATACAAAAAGAGATCAGATTTTTTATTCCTGAAAATTGCGGTAGACATACCTAAAATATAGGTAGATATTAAACACAGGATTTACTAGAACTTTTTTTGTAACTAACCCCTTATTCACTACCTTGTTTGAGGATTTTTAATAAGTAATTTTATGCGTATGCGTACAGTTGTAAATTCAAATTTAAAGTAGGTATGTAAATGCATATAGGTAGGTATGTACCTACCTACATTGTCAAAAAAAAATTTAAATTATTAATTTCGCAATTTTTAATACGCTATATTATTACAATCTTTTGATTTCAAAATATGTACGAAAATATTATTTATAGTCTATCACAATCTATATTTTTTTAACAGATAAAATTAATACCTGCCTTTATTTTTGCATTTGCGATTTAAAAATCGGAAAATTATTGATTAACAATCTCCCAAGATAACAATCCTAAAAAATTACGTGTAGTGCAATTATAAACCATATACCTACTTACATATACTGAGGTATCGGGTATTTCCCATATAAGTGCAATAATAGGGCGGAAAACAGGAAAAGTCAGAAAATGTCCAACAAAAATGCGAACTGTGCAGTCGGGAGCAAAATTCAAAAATTCAAAACATTAGGCAAGTTTTTCTATTTTGTAATTTCTATGTAATTAGTCTTTTTGCATCTTTTTTAATATGCCTGTATTTGTCTGTATGTGCAGTATCTAGATTATAAATAAGGAAAATGTGATAAAAAATATGCCATATCCAGTAATTTAGGTTATGTAATATGACATTGCAATTATAATTCTATAAAAGTATAAATAATAATTATTTTACATTTATTGCATGCCCATAATTTAAGTAAATGGTATACATATTAACAAATAAAAATGTTAGGTCATATTTTCAGTAGGAATGTAGATAAGAAATAATTTATCAATACTGTGCAGGACCGTACCGACGCGTTTTTTAAATTTGAATATGTATAAAGAATTTTCTTACACTTTATAGAAAATATTTTACTTCGCAAAAATGTTAAATTAAATTAAGTTTTAGAAAGTTATAAATATCTTTTCTTTGACCTCTTAAAAATTAAGGTATATGTTTTAAAAATATTTTGTGTAATATTGCATATATTTTCAGATTCAAAGGTCCAAAATTTAATTCGAGAAGCTGTGGAAGCACGAAATTTTTCCTATTCTCCTTACAGTAATTTTAAAGTTGGTGCTTGTGTTTTATGTGACGATGGAACATTCTATAGAGGGTGCAACATAGAAAACCGATCTTTTACAGTTGGTATATGTGCCGAGAGATGTGCCTATTCAAAAGCCATAAGTGAAGGGAAAACAAACTTCAAAGCTGTTGTTGTAATCGCACAACAAGAACAGTTTTTTACAACCCCTTGTGGAGCATGTAGGCAATTTATGAGCGAGTTTGGAAATGTCGATGTTTATATTAGCAAACCCAACTCTGAGGATGTATTTGTGACAACACTAGATGAACTGCTGCCACATCAGTTTAAAACAGTAGACAACACATTTGTATAATTTAAATATATATTTAATAAAATATAACGTTCTAAATACATTGAAGGTAATTAAATTGTATATATGTATAATAGAACTAGAGTATTTCCAATAATTTTGACCACAAATAAAGAGGTTAATGCAAGCATTTCCAAGGCCCTTTAATATAACAAATTATATAAATTGTATAATTATTCGAACACTCGCCGATTATTATAAATATAAAAAATATAAATTATTTAAGAAATAATTCTCGACGTCAAGATCTGTCAATTGAAGTATTTCAAATACAATAAAAATGCAATATTTTTTAATTAACGATTCATTTTTACATTTATTATAAAACGTTAACGGAATACCTATTAATTACTTGTTAAAATGGTTCCAATGTTTTACAAATCAAACATTAAAAAAAGAAACAATAAAATCATACTAACCAATTTTTATACAGCAGTTATATATATTATTGTTTTCTGTACATATTATTTAACGTCGTAAAATAATCGTGTTTATTGCTTATAAATGTGTTTTAAATAGTCTATGTGTATAAATATTTCTGAAATATAGAATGTGTATTATTGAAACAGCATAGTTAAATTTCTGATCTTAATAATAGTTTAAGCTATTTAATATTAAAAGTACTCAGTTTGATTATTCTCTATGAAATATTACAACGATCCCTTGAATTCCTACTGTCAGTTATCCCAGTTCGAGATTCGGCAGCTTGAAGTTGTCTTGCCAATGCTAAATCTAATTCCTCTTGTCTCTTTCTACTGTGTGGGACATTGTCTTGAAGTGAAAGAGCTAGAGCCCTAGCTAAAGCTTCGTCTTCTGTAATGCTGCCTTGAACTGTCTGAGAAAGTGATCCTACTCTTTGTTGTGCTTCAAAAATCCATCGTTTTCTAGCACCTCTACCCTCACAAGAGTGGTCTGTGGGGTGCCTATGTCTCAAACAAAAATTAAGAGAACATTCATTGCACACAAGTGGTACAACTTCTTTGTTTTTACACTTCTTATATGTACATTTATTTGTAAACACTTTTCTTCGAGATTTTGCAGGATCAGATTGGCAATCGGTATCTATATGAGCTCCTACAACCATATCAGGATGCTGCCCCTTTTGTACAGGTATGGGTTTATTGCAAAGCGGGCACACTGGAACTTGATTGTTTTTCTTATATGCATTATCACAATTATGTGAAGTATAACTATAGTGATCCTCACAAAATAATAAAGTGCAAGCATCGCACCTTATCGGTAAGAAATCTAACTTATTGCACTCGGATTTTGAGCAATGATCTCCAATATGTGGTAATTCCATTTTAAACCAACTATTAGAACACTTTTAGTTTACAAATATTATAAACACTATTCACACTACGAAACAAGTATAACTGATGAAAGCATTGAATGCTACCGATGCAGTGGTATTTATTTGAATAAAATATTCCAGAATAATCTTAGATATACGTTTTAAAATGAATAATGATAAACAGAAATTTTGATGAAACGAAATGATGATAAGTGACAATTCAAATTTGACAATTTGACAACTGACAAAAAGGATTTTTTCGCGAGTTGCCATTGAACATGGGATCTTGCCCAAGGTCGCTTTAGTGATTTTGGTCGTCAACTTTGATTGTTTCCAACGAGTACATTAATGGCACAGCTTATACAGCTCGCCAACTGTCTTGGCGGGAACGGTTAGCGTCGATTCCGCCGCGCAGTGTTTATGCCCCGCCTTCCAGCGAAAAAGACGGCTTTGGCGTTCGTTCAGGCGAGTAACGATAACGGGTAGTAAGAATTGCAATCATAGGCGTGCGTATAATTTCGTTGATTTATTTTTATTTGATATAATAATGAAAATGAAGATACCTTATTTGGACAATTGCAAATACCAAACGATAACTTTGTTGAGCTCATTTGTAATACTGAAAAGATATTTCAAGATAATTTTGAACAATTATCCACAAAAAATAAAATTTGTAGCACATTTCTTGAATTAATTAATAGACTACCTTTTAGTCATCCGTGTCATTCTTTTCCGAAAGAATTTGCACTTAGGTTATATTTAAGGGTTAGAATTTATTATATGTTATAAACTATAAACCAAAATTTTAGGAATATTCAAAAAATAAACTTATAATAATGGAGAAATCTGTAATGATTATATTTTTAATACTATGTATTATGTTATTATATTTTTTTGTATATTATATTGTACGTATGTTTTATAATATGTATAAGTATTAGTCCAGGCTGTATCGTTGCTCCCGCTAGGAACATGATTTTCATTCGAATTTTTTTTTCATAATCTTACTAAAAAAATGACCCTTGAATCATATCCGCATGTTGCCAGACGTTACTAATGGTCAAAAATTGTTTAAACTATTTTTTTTAAACAAATTCGTAATTTTCGATTTCATCATTTTTATAGGCTTTTTGGGGTATCCTGAACAAATATGTTCATATGCAACTTTTCTCTAAAATCTACCGTTTTCGAGATATTAATGATTTTTTGTTCGAAAAAAACGCGATTTCAACCATTTTCTTCTCTAAGGATTACGTCAGTAAATAGGAACTTACAACAAGGAATTTTAATTACTCTTCAAGTTTTCTTTTAATAATCCGTATTAACTCCAAGTAAAAAACCTATTACCTATCTAAAATACCTATTTTCTATTTTTAATGTCATGTCACGTAATATTCTAATTCAAATTTCATATATTAAAATTACCTACTACGGTACTGTCAGGTAAAAACTAAATATTTTATTTCAATAATAAAAATTATTTTAATCCAGCCCCGACAATTCCGCTTAATCTGAGAGAGTTAGCACGATTCCGTCTCGCTTGGTTCTCGACCGCCACATCAGTTCAGAGCGAACAGCCGAGCTGAGCAGACGTGTTTGTTTGTGAGGTGAAATGCTATGCAACGAGCAAGATCTACCTGCCTTTATTAAGGCTACCTGGAAAGAATCCCTTTCTTTCCTTTTAATCACCGACCTAATCCCCGGCTTAAGCATAGACGCCGTCGGCATCTTTGTTACAGCACCTGTGCCGGGGTTATGCCCAGGTAAGTTTTTACTTATTTATCAGTTATTTNAGGGCATTTTTTTATAAGACGATAATTTTTAGAAAGTTCAAACTTGATTTTCTAAAATTTTTCAAATGGAACACCCTATATTTTATTGTTTTATTTTATTCGCATATCACTCCACTTCAACTTTTATTAAGCATTACCTAAAATTGTTAGTTTTTAAGATATGGCAACATTTCTGAAAATCCTTTTTTATTTTCGGTCGCACGAGATGGCTTTGGAAAAAACTGTCACATTGTGTCAACTTGTCAGTTCATAATTTACCATTCCATTTTGCGTTTATTTTATTAGTTTATTAGTATCTATTAGTTATTTATTAGTTAGAATTCATAAAATAATTTTATATTACAATGAATTTTTCTAAAGCAGAAATGGTTGATATGATTTATGTATTGGGAGCTGCTGATAGAAATTGTTTACTCGCAACAAGAATTTATAATCAGAGATATCCAACAACGTGCAAATACCTTTGAAAAATTAATGGTACGTTTTGATACTACTGGCAATGTTTCTTATGAAAAACATGATAGAACTCTGTGATATAGGCACTAGAGCAATTTCAAGACAAACAGATATAAGCAGGACATCGGTAAGGCGGATTTTAAAGAAGCACAGGATGCATCCATATCATATCCAGTTTCACCAAGAATTGAATAACCACGACTATGAAAGTCGCTTGGAATTTTGTAATTGGGCTCAGAGAAAAATGAATGAAGATAGGCTTTTTTTAATTATGTGCTTTTTACTGATAAGGCAACATTTCACAAAAATGAAAGCGTGAACAGACACAATTTTCATTATTATGAAAATCCGTTGCTTATAAGGACACAGTCAAATCCGGTGGTCACTCAATGTTTGGGGCGGAATTATTGGACATTACGTTATTGGGCCTTATTTTTTCGACGAACATTTAACAGGGCAACTATATCTTCATTTTCTACAAAATACTGTGGAAAATTTATTAGAAAATATAGCGCTAAATATTCGTCAGAGGATGTGGTATTTACATGATGGAGCATTGGAGCCCCTGTACACCACACGCAGGAAGTTCCTAGATTCTTAAACAATGAATTTCCAGAGAAGTGGGTTGGAAGAAGTGGACCAATTAGTTGGCCTGCTAGGTCGCCTGATCTGACAAAAATGGACTATTTTCTGTGGGGATATGTAAAAGATCGGGCACAGCTTATACAGCTCCCCAACTGTCTTGGCGGGAACGGTTAGCGTCGATTCCGCCGCTCAGCGTTTATGCCCCGCCTTCCAGCGGAAAAGACGGCTTTGGCATTCGTTCAGGCGAGTAACGACAACGGATAGTAAGAATTGCAATCATAGGCGTGGGTATAATTTCGTTGATTTATTTTTATTTTATATAATAATGAAAATGAAGATACCTTATTTGGACAATTGCAAATAATGCCAAACGATAACTTTATTGAGCTCATTTGTAACACTGAAAAGATATTTCAAGATAATTTTGAACAATTATCCACAAAAAATAACATTTGTAGCACATTTCTTGAATTAATTAAAAGACTACCTTTTAGTCATCCGTGTCATTCTTTTCCGAAAGAATTTGTACTTAGGTCACAGCTCATACAGCTCCCCAACTGTCTTGGCGGGAACGGTTAGCGTCGATTCCGCCGCGCAGCGTTTATGCCCCGCCTTCCAGCGGAAAAGACGGCTTTGGCATTCGTTCAGGCGAGTACGACAACGGGCAGTAAGAATTGCAATCATAGGCGTGCGTGTGTGTGCGTTTAAACAATTTTTTTTAATCAAATTCGTAATTTTCGATTTTTTCGCTCGAAATACATTTTTATAGGCTTTTTGGGGTATCCTGAACAAAAATGTTCATACGCAACTCTTCTCTAAAATCTACCGTTTTCAAGATATTAACGATTTTTTGTTCGAAAAAAACGCGATTTTAACCATTTTCTTCTCTAAGGATTACGTCAGTAAACAGGAACTTACAACAAGGAATTTTAATTACTCCACAAGTTTTCTTTTAATAATCCGTATTAACTCCAAATACAAAACCTATTACCTATCTAAAATACCTATTTTCTACTTTTAATGTCATACCACGTAATATTATAATTCAAATTTCATATTATTTAAATTACCTACTACAGTACTGTCAGGTAGAAACTAAATATTTTATTTCAATAATAAAAATTATTTTAATCCACGATTCCGTCTCGCTTGGTTCTCGACCGCCACATCAAAGGCGCCGACACGGACTCTTCCAGCTGTATTAAGCTGTGAATCGGGTATATCAAACTCCCCTTACTACTAAAGAGGATATGAAAAACCGAATTCGACGAGTTTTTCAAAATATCAACATTGATAGTCTGAATAATGTTAACACCACATTTGAACGACGTGTAGAGCTATGTCTAAACCAAGACGGCCGTCATTTTGAACACTTGTTGTAAAATTAAATATTTGATTTATTTTCGTAACTATTTTGTTATTTTATTTCCATTTAATAAATAAACTATGTTGTTATGTTCTATTAAGATTTTTTTATACACAAATATGTAGTATAATTAAATTATTTTATAGTATAGACAAGTTGACACAATGTGACAGTTTTTTCCAAAGCCATCTCGTGCGACCGAAAATAACAAAAATTAAGTATTTTCAGAAATGTTGCCATATCTTAAAAACTAACAATTTTAGGTATAGAACATGCTTAATAAAAGTTGAAGTGGAGTGATATGCGAATAAAATAAAACAATAAAATATAGGGTGTTCCATTTGAAAAATTTTAGAAAATCAAGTTTGAACTTTCTAAAAATTATCGTCTTATAAAAAAATGCCCTGTATAAAATATCGATATTAGCTAATATAGGAGCCTTTGTATAACATTTGCCTATAACTCTGTCAAATATTTTTGCTCCAAGTGTTAGTAGTTGAAAGTTAATACAACTTCTTCGAGGTCATGTTTTTTCCAAAATTCTAAGAATTTTCTACATAACTTGGCAACCCCGCACTAAAATGATAAACTGTTTATATTGCCATATATAGAATTTTCTCAGAAATCCAACTGTTTAAAAATATACAGGGTGTTCCATTTAAAAAATGTAATGTTTGGCGAGTCCCGTTTTTACTCATCGCCCTGTATGTTTGAAATTAATTTTGTAGTTTAGGTTTCTTGATTCTGTACAACTTTTATATAAATTTTTTTTCTGTATTATAAGTAACAAGGGAGTTAGTGTACTTTCTCACACTAATGGCCCACCCTGTATATGTATATGTATACCTACTAAATACTAAAATCGTAAAATCAGAAGGCATATCTATAAGAATAGTTCTATGAACTATTCTGGAACCGTGAGACAGAACTCCTATTTTATTTGTTAAATAACTGTTTTGAATATATAAATGCTAATTAATTTAGTAATAATATATAACCCTGCTATAAATACGTAGGCTA